TCCTCAGTGTTCACAAGAGAGGATGCAATTTACCTTCCTGCGTTTGAGGACACACGGTTCGACACAGCACTGACCCACACTGTGTTCACAGAAGAGGGTATTAGAAATAAACTGTCCAGGCTAAAGGTCCATAAGAGTCCCGGACCTGACATGGTGCATTCCAGAGTGCTAAGAGAGTTGTGCAACGAGCTTGCCTGGATGAACAAAAGGTCCCCAGCGATTGGAAAATGGCTTATGTGAGTCCTATCTTCAAGAAGGGCGATCGTCACTCCACGAACAACTATACACCAGTGAGCCTGACCAGCATAGTATGTAAAGTACTTGAGAGTATTATCGGAGATGCCGCTATGGAACATCTACTATGAAACGACCTTGTAAAGGATTGACATTCCGGTTTTATGCTGGGGCGCTCCTGCTTAACACAATTGCTTAAGGCAGTGGTTCTCAACCTTGTTTGCCCCATGCACCCCTTTCACCATATGTCAGAATGTCATTCCCCCCTCCTTTCCAAGATTGTCTGCCTCAAAAAGTGCATTCCAAATAATATGCATATAATACTGAAAATCCTTTATTTTTTCCATATTAGTATCAGTTTTCCCCCTGAAAACCTGAGGGAATTCCCCCAGTTGAAAACCCCTGGCTTAAGGTATTGGATATTTTGACCCATATTCTGGAACGGGGTGGTAATATCGACAATATATACCTAGATTTTGCCAAGGCTTTCGACAGTGAACCCCATGAAAGACTGAAATCAAACAGGAAGGGTACGGAATTCGGGGAAATGTCCTAACGTGGATAGAAGACTCTCTCCATGACCGCAAGCAGTGTGTGGTGATTAATGGCACGAAATCATCATCTGTACCCGTCACAAGTGGGGTATCACAGGGTAGCATATTGGGCCCGTTGTTGTTTGTTTGTTTCATAAATGACATGCCTGACTTTGTACACTCCTCCATACAAATGTTTGAGGATGACGCCAAGTCATTTCAGGAAATCAAGAACCAAGCGGACTGTGAAGAGCTGCAGAAGTACCTCTGTGGGCTCCAAGAATGGTCGAAGAAATGGCTGCTGAGATGCAATGTCACGAAGTGTAAGAGGATACACCTGGGGCGTACCAACGGTAAGGAGGCGTATCATATGTCCCAACGGGATGAAGAAACTGTACTTTTTGAGACTGAATGTGAGAAGGACCTAGGTGTGTATGTTGACAATGTGATATGCTAGTGACTGTCAGTTGGTTGAAAATGTTCCAAGGAGGGCCACCAGACTGGTGCCTGCACTTCGGCACCTCAACTACCCTGAGAGATTGGGGCGCCTGAGCTTGCCTAGCTTTTACTATAGACGGGCAAGGGGCGACCTAATTGAGGTGTAGACCAGTTCCTTGGCCCTACCCACAATACATAGTTACATGACAACCCTTGGCTTTACTTAACTGCCACCCCAAGTGGGTACTTCTACTTCACCCACATCTTCTAGTGGTACGTTTCATTACAGTTACCAGGCGTTATTCATAGTCCCAAGTGGACAACTTTACTTCTCACACATTACTCGGTACTTTTCATTACATCCAGTTATAAGACAACCTTACTTAAGATACTTCACAGTGTTGGTAGTGCATAGGAGATGCACTCACACACAACACGCCAATACTGATACCAACAAATACATGGGTCCACTACCCAACATGGGGTAATTATTAACAAACACATACAACAACACTGTGGGCCATATCTCCAAGGCATGTCCCAGGGTATAGCACTGGCACCACTAACAACTGACAACTGCTGTTGTGGTCGGTTGTACTCCGACACGAGGCGGGTCTGGGGCCCTCGGCCCACGAGGTGGACCTGCCGTTTCAATCATGTCGAATCAACGACATCGTCGATATATGGCTCCCTGCTGGGAATCTACTGGCTCCGGGGCTATAGGTGAATGTCAAATAAGCCCAGCCTGGATCTGGGGACAAATAGGGGAGGATGTGACGGAGGACGAGACTTGGGAAGCATGATGACAACACAAACAAATCTTTCATCTTGTAACGTCATACGACATTTACTTTATATTACTTCTTACACTGGGTGAATGACAATTCAACTGTTAAAGCATGAACACTGATATGACTGAATCAAACTGAATGGCTAGGGAACACTACTACATACCTGGAGACAAACAGGAGAGCGTCACGGGAGTACGTCTCTCCTTCCCGCCTTAGTATAAATACCCGAGTTGCCAGCAATCGCTACTCACGCAATGACAGAAATTACAAACAACTTAACTGTTACTCATTCAAGGATGACCCTCAGTTGACAAACGTCTGGCGAATTACTAAAGTTGATTTACACAGACTAATTCAAGATTGAGCTTGTCAGGAGAGAAAGTGGAATAACTACATAGTGACAACTGTGTTTGAAGGCGGGACTTACTGGGAGGGATCATGAGAATAAGCGTCGATGGGGAAAAACACTTCTTCTCAGGGATAGTTAACCCACTCATGTTTTGCGTTCGTGGAGTATAATAAGAATCAGTAGTTAAAACAGACTAGCTGTCAACGTGACCATGACAGTATCATGTTCATTGTTAATTGCCTTCATCCACCAGTGTAGTCTTTGGGTTCTCACGTTGGTCACATACTCCATCTGTTCTGTCGTTGAGGTCTTCCCCGAGTCTTGTTGCTGCTCAAACTTGTGTTGTGACTGACTGCAGGGATTGTCAGATGAATGGTCTTCTCAGTACCTGCCACATGGGGTCTAATCTGGTTTACTGACTGGAGTTTCAGCAAGTGCCTTTCACTGAAGTGTGACCACAAGGCAATGGTTTCAGGAAGCACGCACGCAGGCACGCAAGGACGCCCGCACGCACGGTCAAACGCCTCTGGGGGAACCTTTGCGTGACTATTAGAGAAGGCAAGTAAAGCAGACTTTTTGGTCAGTGGCATAAAATTAAGCATTACTGAGTGCTCGTACTGGCACTGTTTGTAAGGTACTTTCGTCTGGCGTAGCATCCACAAGTACATGACTGGGTTAAAGGGGAACACCAGACAATGTTCATTGCTCAACCTTACATTTATCTTCACTTAAGAATTTTAGAGAAAAAGATGACGAGGAAAGGGGAATAAGAAAGATAAGAAGAGGAAGTGATGAAGGAGGATATGGAAGGGAAGAGAAGGAAGGATGAAAGAAGAAGAGGGAGGTCCACGTTCCACTGAGGGTGTCAAGGAAACCCACTAAGTGTCGGCCATCTTGTGGGGCCTCCCTGGCTCTGACAAGTAGCACTAGAAACTAACAATCACTACCAGGTATTTCTTTGACGTAACCAACAGGTGTGGTTATATGACGTCAGGACTAGATATGGCTATATGACATCATCGAGAATAGGTGTGGTTATATGACGTCAGGACCAGGTCTTAGGACACTCAGCCCTTCAGGAGAATACGACGCTATTACGTTTCCGATGGCCTGACCAAGACAACTTATTTACGTGTACTGTAACTTGACAGAACTAAATATCAATTGATAAAAGTAAACCTACGTAACTAAACCATTAGCTATATTAACAAAGTAAACTACAATCAATTTAATAAGTTATCAAATACAACTTACGTAACCAGGTTATCGTAACTCAGTTCACTAAATCAATGACCAGATATCGTAAACTAATTCATCAATGTTATTTACTAGCTTTATGGTATCACTTAATTGACTTTACTTATTCAATTAAATGTTAATTAATTCAAGTAACTTAAAAAAAAAAGTAACCATTGGTTGGGTTGGGTTGGGTTGGGTTGGGTTGCTTCAGGGTGAGCTAGTCAGAAATCACGAAGTCATTCAATCATTTATGCCGTTATTTTGTCAGTCAGTCAGTCAGTCAGTCAGTCAGTAATGAACACAATCAGTCAAACGTAACTCATTTTTTTCTGGTTGCGGTAGTGTCAGTACAGTTTAACGCCAGTCTGATAGCCATTTGAATTAGCTGCCCCGTCTCACAGTGAATACATTAAAGAAAAAAAGATACCTAAAGGGAATTCAACATCAGTATAATGAAATGGTTTTGCTAATTTTTTACTAGAAATGTATTTGAGTATAATTTATGTTGTTACGATAAAAATAAGTACGATTCTTAAGTAGAAAGTCACGTCACAATGTCAGCAAAGTTAGGAGAGTTTACAGGCTGTGGGTCACCTGGGGAGTCAGACTCAGAGGTAAACTAGTGAATATCTCAAGTCAAACACTCTGCTGACATCATCTATTTAGCGAGGCACTGCAGGAGTTTTCACAATTATACCCCAAAACTACTCAATTAGTACAGACGCATTTTATATCGATTATATATTGACGTCATTATTATAGAAAGTCACTTGTGTGATTTGTAATACATATGGACCTGAGGTATTGTCTAACTTGATTGTTTTCCTCTATGACATTTTCAGGGATTTTTTTTTTATATACAGTCACCCACCCTCTCTCCCATCTCGTCAATAGTGTATTTTTATTTAACTGAGACAAACGACTGTTCTCTAAGAAGTTAATGCGAAAGTACCGCCCCTCAGCTCTAAGGTCTGTTTATCATTATATTATTGAAATGCCTCATATGTAGACAGTACCCCCTCCTTACCCATAATTTCTTACATCTCGTCATAGTGAGATTCTCGACCCACGTCTTCCTACATATTATAAACTGCAGCTATTCATACAGTAGGTACTTCCTCACCTCCCTGTGCTCTTTAACCCATACATACACACAGGGTCCTGGTGAGAGTAATAAGCACAGCCTCCCCTGCTTTAGCGCCTCTCACGGGCTCCTTCAGGTATTTCTCGCTTACATTTGCCATGACTCCATCAACAATAAATCATGCCAGTAACAATAGTCTGGCCTACACTCAGGGGAGGGGCGGGGTGTCGAGTTACCAGAAACCCTCTTGTGATGGGATTACCTACGAGAGGCCCCACCACCACGTGACCCTCGCCCCTACACGGCCAGGTTCTCCCCACCCTCACAGTATCCAGCGTAAACTTCAACCTAGGTGTAGTAATAGATGTTTCAACTCGTGTGAGGTGTCAATGTTGTATGTTAAGGCAGGACAGTGTCGTGCAGGAATGTCCGATGGCTTGTGTTAGGGCATGTCTCAGTCACTTGTTGAAATTTACAGTAGGGAGGAGGCCTGGGCTATACCGCAGGTAAGGCCGGGTAGGGGGTCGAATTACAAGGCCAGACGCGACCGCTGCTACTAAGACAGTTCAGTTCAGTCGTTAGCCACGACCGCCACGCCACGCCACGCCACGCCACGCCCGTCACAGATGAAGTACTATGCGAGGAGATGGTGTTGAAGACTTGTGAGGAGGAGCGTGAGTGATTGGGGGAGAGAGCGACAGTAGTGTGTGTGTTTTGTGGTGACCAGCACCCGCCTCACACCGCCGCCGCTAGCCACACACTACGCTCCCCTGACCCGCTTGTCCTGACCCAGAATGACTTTAGATGAAGATTTTAGTGTTGCACAGTTTGAGTGACGATTTCATGTGTTTGGTGGAGACTGGAGTACTTCAGCCACTCAGAGTTTACCGCCACTCAAAGCCATGAGTGACGGGGGCAGTGACCTCAGCAACGATGACGTGCGTCACCGTCGTAAGTCCCTCCCGACGGAGGAGTTTGGTATGGCTGGAAATCCTAATCCTCTGGGTGTGCCCTTCTTCAGGAACCTGCCCATGATGGGACTGGACCAGCAGGAGGAAAGGGCTTCTCTCCTGGGCTCAGGGCAGTATGTCTACCAGTCCTCAGGCTCCGATACCTACTCCAGCGACTTCCTCAGGGTGAGTACACTACTGGTGGAGTGACGGCAGGTGTTGACTGGTGTAGTGGTGGAGTGGAGTGACGGCAGGTGTTGACTGGTGTGGTGGTGGAGTGACGGCAGGTGTTGACTGGTGTGGTGGTGGAGTGGAGTGACGGCAGGTGTTGACTGGTGTGGTGGTGGAGTGGGTGACGGCAGGTGTTGACTGGTGTGGTGGTGGAGTGGGTGACGGCAGGTGTTGACTGGTGTGGTGGTGGAGTGACGGCAGGTGTTGACTGGTGTGGTGGTGGAGTGGAGTGACGGCAGGTGTTGACTGGTGGTGGTGGTGGAGTGACGGCAGGTGTTGACTGGTGTGGTGGTGGAGTGGAGTGACGGCAGGTGTTGACTGGTGATAGTAATTATGTCATTTTAAGTATCTCTCTCTCTCTCTCTCTCTCTCTCTCTCTCTCTCATTTGAAAATTTAAATTGAATCAGATATTTGTTTAGCGATCATAAGGTGTCATATTATAGGTTATATACTAACCATGGGCGAGGGGTGGGTGGTGGTCGTGGTGATCCGGACCCCCCCCCCCTTTTTCATAAGAAAATTTCAAAACTTTTTCTTTAATGCAGTATTGTATTCAGGCATTTTTGTATCGTAAAAAGTATTTACCATTGACCTCAGAATATCTCCTAAAATCAAGTGCACATGGCGTTAAAATGACTCAAAACCCCCAGCTGGGAGATAGTCTGAAGTCAATGGTATATACTTTTTACGTTATCATGTAGGTGTAAACTATATCATGAAGATGTAAACTATATCATGTAGGAGTAAACTATATCATGATGGAGCTTTTAATATGCTGGTATTTATCATAGATGCTTGAGATAACTATTGCCCCCTACACATGATACACCGGGTCGACAGTCATAGCAGGGGGGGGGGGAGATTCCTGGGTCAGAGGTCAGCGATAGTGTTGGTAAATATTATAATTTTGCGAATCACCATAGGATTAGACTCCCTAGCTTATTTCACCTGATTCAACACACTGGGGGATTAGGTGAAGGTATGTTAGGTTAGATTTAATCATTAAGATAGGTTAGGTTAGGTTAGGTTAGATTAGGTTAGGTTAGGTTAGGTTAAGGTGATTTATCTTCAGGTGATATAAGCAGTGGGGCTAATCTTCGTGTGACCCAATTTTAGAGTTTTGATTCTGTAGTCGTGTGGTAATTAAGATAGAGAGAGTTACCTGCTGAATCCAGGGTAAAATGCTCTCTAGGTTAAGATTGGTAATGATGAGAAAAAGAGTTCCATTTTCCACCTATTGTTACGACTTTCTACGCCAAGGTAACCGGTGGTAAAACCAAAAGAGAGAGAGAGAGAGAGAGAGAGAGAGAGAGAGAGAGAGAGAGAGAGAGAGAGCAGTCAGTACGTGTGTGTGTGTGTGTTTCGCAGTCAATCAAGACACACCTTGTAATCACCCGAACTCATTTCATCTGATGAGCGAACACCCTAACGCTAGATGTATGAAATGTAATGTATGTATGTATGTATGTATGTATGTATGTATGTATGTATGGAGAACCGGATTCTAGAACTATCTACTCACTGTCTTCCAGTTTGGGTTTCCATGGCAACTGTTACAATTCGTAAAATTTGGTTGATTATTTTGTTTCTATCTTCGGTGTTTCTCTTCACACACACACACACACACACACACACACACACACACACACCCCAGCTGCCTTTACTGACTCACTCCCTCTTCATCTCCGGCAGGAGGGCGCCGACGATGGCTTGGCCAAGCAGTCAGGGCTCGGGTACGGGACCTGGAAGGCGTCTGAAGAGGGCATCACCCTGACCTGGCGTGACCTGAGTGTATACGTCCCTCAGAAGAGAGGATGGTTCAAGGGCACCCACGAGCAGCGGCCCTTCAAACGAGTCCTTAACAACGGTAAGTCGAAGATAAAACGACAAATATTACTTTAATGTATCAGGTAAATGTGTTACTGAGAAGCCTCCACCAGACAGGAGGTTTGTAGAGGTGGGGGTCGTAGTACAGCACAGTGTTACAGGTCTTTACCCAACAAGGCAGCAACATGACCCCCTCCACTTCACAACAGTCAAATTAATTTATCTATTTAGTAACCGATGATCAGTATATAATAATGTATGTTAGATTATTAGGGTTAGGTTAGGTTAATTAGGGTTAGGTTAGGTTAGGTTAATTAGGGTTAGGTTAGGTTAATTAGGGTTAATCATAGTTAGGTTAGGTTAGAAATAATATGGTTTGGTTGGCTTACGTTAGATATAGTTTGCAGATCGTTCTTACAAAACTTTGATCGAACGAAATTAATTTTTTTATGAGTTTATTGTGTTGCATTCAAAGGTGTTTATGTAAGCTGCAACCTTTACCGATAACTCGTCAAAAATACAACAAAAGCTCGTTTAGATAACGTCAGAATCAACCAATCAGGTATCGCCTGACGGTTTCCCCTTAGCCACCAGTGACACTCACCTCGTGCCACAGCCGCAGCCAATGTTGTGGCCAGCTGTGGTTACACGAGAGGTGATGCCCGACTCTCCAGTAACCAGATCTACGAGTATCAGCATGATCAGTCACCCACCTGCCCTACACCCTTCCTCGTGTCTTGGTCTACCTGTCTGCATTCTTCTCTACGTGTCTAAAATAACTTCGTTCTCAGACTAACATATTCGAAGTAAAATATATAACTCCTACTGTATGCTTACAGAAGTTAACTCAACCCTCGAGGCTATACAAGGGAAGTATTGCTACACCCACGATCTTCATTTATCTGTTTCCCATCTTCCTCAACGTGACGAGTTAATATATGATATGGTCATAATAACCTTGTGTATAATGAGGATGATGATGCCTTCTATAGCGAGATAGAGGTTAACTCAGTAATATGTGATGGTAGTCTGGCGGTGTAGGGATACGTCTCGTCAACATTGTGAAGATTTGTGACGTTATGTATTGATACGAACGTCATTACCTACAACAAATTGTTATGTATCTAGAACAATATACTAAAGTTCCCACGACATCCGGTGCCGGCGTTAGCCACCATCTTGAAAAATAACCACCATATTGGACAAAAAATTAAAGGGCAAATAGCTGCTAAAGTTTTAGTTTTATCGAAAAATAATATTCAGTAAAAGTTGTTCTAGATCATGTACACAGTGGCGGTGTTATTTTTAAGTTATTGTTATGTTTTGATTTTAAGGAAAATAATTAAAATACAAAAATTAGGGAAAAGGTTTTTTCAAAATTAATTTTCACAGAACTCGTCGTCTAAATGAAGAAATATGTTTCAATAAAATATATAAAGAACTATTCAGCATAAATTACAAGTAATATACCGAGGTAACATAAGGAGTGGTAGTGGTCTAGGAGAACTTTGGGCCACAGTTATGACCAATCACCTGTAAACCACATGGTATCAGGTCACGCTTACTCCTCGTGCCTTACCAGCTCACTTCTTACAAAGTTTGCTCTGACAAAAAAATTTCCTACAAAATGTGCCGCTGATATTGATAAAGAACGCAGTACTGTCCTAGCTCTCATTAACTGCTTCCTTCTTCGTAATACTGATGGAAGAAGTCCTCCAGACCAAATCTTGCAAATATTAATGAGAAGATGACAACCATTATTTGCCAAACAAAGGATTTGAGCTGCAGGTCAAGACTATGGCTACAGCACTGTACTGCGATCAAGTTTATTTGCCTAAATTCTTAGTCAGAGCTGAACGTACTGTACAGTAGGATTTGCGCTTATAAATTATGCGCCAAGTGTTTACGTATTTACATGCTGCTGGACATTTACCATACACCAATTCAGCACAAATCTATTTGCAACAGATGTCTAAATTTCCTGATAAAATGCCAAAGAAAGAATTTGAACAGCTTACCAAAGAAGTCTTTTCCACAGTACAGTACGCCGCAACAAACAATACTGGTCAGGGACATGGCCAGATATGATCACAGAACAGTTTTTGATGAGACAAATGAAATGCTGTCGAGGCCTCAATCATAGTCGAGGCACTACAGAGAGAACTCTTACCCAATGGACACAAGCGTTGTCACCGTATACTGTACAGTCCACGCCACTTGGCTGGGTGCGCCCCCCCCCCACCCCCACTCACTTCCAGAAACACACAATTAATCGGTGGTCAGCCAAGGTGTAAAGTCAACACTTACCCCCGAACACGTTAACTGGATAAATAATTTAAAAACTGTATTTTCTTGTTTCTAAAATCCATCCATACATTTGTTTTAGTTACGAACATGATAGAATATATAACATGATGTGGGAGCTTTGAAACAGGCCACTGGTCATTTACACCGGATATTCCACCAATGGGCGTTGACCAGAGGTTGACAGCCGCCCACCGTGCCTCGCCTTCACTCGACAGTATGTCGATAAGGAGGAGCAATTTGGGGCAAGAGTTGTGTTCACCCAACACCCTTGGCCGTGTCCATGTGTGGCGCCAAAACAACACAAGGTAACGTACTGTGGGGTTCAAGATGTTTGGGTTCACACTCAGGATGGAATGGAGAAAGGAAACTCACAATGTGCTCTCTATATACATGTTGTATTGGATGTACAATGCAGCTTGGTGCTGGGAAGGCAGCATGGTTACAAGCGTGATGTAGAGAGAGCTGGTTGGTGAAGATGCTCAGAGAAGGACAGCTTGTGGGTCGCCATGCTCGCCGGCGGGAGAGAGGACCGCCAGGGAGGCGGAGGAGGAGCGAGGGCCGCCAGGCAGCGGCGGAGGAAGTGTTGCTGGCTGGTTGGTGTGTGTAGAAAACGACAGGTCACCACGAGGTCAGGTCTTAAATAGCGGGGCGAAGGCGTGGCTTAGTAGTTGACCCCCGCTCCGTGATGTATGGCGGCGCTGGTTGACCTAGACCAAGAGGCATACACTGGGGAATTGGTGGGGTCGGCTAGGCAGCGACAAACAGCGTTTGTAGGGGAGAATTCCACTACAATACCCATAAAGTTATGTTTACAACCTGTAACGTGGTTAATTTTAGTATATCAAATTACTTTATGAAATACCGTATATCTTGTAGTAAATAACAAATTATAATTTAACATGAAAGTGAAGAATATAACAAAGTGATAAGGTCTACATTATTTTACGGAGATATGATCGGCACAATATATATGACGAACAACGGAGCGGCCGAGTGTGTGGGGTGGATGACTGTCCACGGCGTCGGGGATGTCACACAGATTCAGGGACAGTTTAGTGCCCAAACATATGTTGACAGCCTTAATAGTTTGTTTTTGTCTATTAGATATCCTTAATAGCCTTAATAGATTGTAGAAGATAAAGGTTAAATCTCTCAATTCTATAATATAACCTTGGCAGTGATGGTGGTAAACCATACCAATACCAACTTAGGCTCACCACCCTTAACAACCATATTCGCCTGTACTTAACCTAGTTGGGATAGGCCCTTACTCCTCCCTGCTAGGCCTCCACACCACAGTGGCAGAATATAACTCAATAATCTTCTATGTTAACCATTTATTAATATATTTGTTGTTATTTATACCCTGGAACTTATTCCTTATTAATATTTAATTCTACTTGTGTACTGAAAGTAACTTCATTCGTTCCCAAATATGCTGTTAATTTATATTTCATTAAAACCGAACAATATAATAACGAAACATTTAAAGTAGTTTGCCCCATAAGACAACGTTGTTTTCTAAGCCCTCCCCCCTTCCAAATAAAGAAGACCACCTCGATTACCTGAAATACTGAACTGTCAACCCGTCCAGTACTGCCCCGTAAGACCCAGTGGCGAGTTACGGACGGACAGAACCATTGCTATACCGTACAGTATATCCCCAAACTTTCGGTCCGGGAGGAATACTGAGAGAAATAAATTTACCGCCGGTCAACAACGCTCCTGATACAGTAAAACGAATGACTTTCTGTCTTCATGAAACTTACAAACATTGGTGTTTGATGCAAGCTTAGGAAAATGTGGCATCCCTAAAAATTACACCGAAAAATACTTTATGTTCTTGAAACACGAGGAGGTGGTCTAATGCTCCCGAGATGTGAGGACGTTCCTGAGGCATGAGTGTGAGGACGTTCCTGAGGCATGAGAGGACGTTCCTGAGGCATGAGTGTGACGACGTTCCTGAGGCATGAGTGTGAGGACGTTCCTGAGGCATGAGTGTGGGGACGTTCCTGAGGCATGAGTGTGAGGACGTTCCTGAGGCATGAGTGTGAGGACGTTCCTGAGGCATGAGTGTGAGGACGTTCCTGAGGCATGAGTGTGAGGACGTTCCTGAGGCATGAGTGTGAGGACGTTCCTGAGGCATGAGTGTGGGGACGTTCCTGAGGCATGAGTGTGAGGACGCTTCCACACATCTAACACGAGAGGAGAGACCCAACTCTCCGAAAACATTGGGCTTTGATGTTGACTTTTGACGGTGGACACTGAAAATTTCAAGATCAAATGGTTCTCTACCCAAAAAGACCCTGAGACATTACGGTCCTGAACATTACGGTTGGAGCCCTTTAAAATTGGGATCCATTGAAATTAGTACTTACTGGGATTGGGACCTGCTATTACCAAGCTTCAATCCCAATGGTTAGGTTAAGTTGTTACCAATTAGAGCTGGGACCTGTTTGACGAATCAACAGCTAATAGAGAGGATATGACGCCTCCAAAACACGGAGCAGATCAGCTAATAGCCTGTAAAGCAGGATGATGAAACCACGACATCATGGTAAGGGTCATTTTATCTCAGTGTAGCAAGAACTTTCCAGGAGAGATGCGGATGCCTCTACAACGGGTGAGTGTGATCAAAGAAGCCACTTGAATGGAAGAGGTGAGGCTCTGGCGGGAAGGACGGTGGGAGGGGGAGGACACTCATAGACGGCGTGAGGGAAGGGAAGGGGAAGATTCATATTCCCAGCGACGGGACCACAGGCGACCACAAAGACGGTGTAAGGATAAGGAGTGGACCCGACGTCCACGTGAACGAGTGGGGGCATCACGTTGACTCATTGATACGGGAGGGACACCGACGTCCTCAAGGATGGCGGGGAAAAGCGTAACGTTCCTATAAAACTGTTGTGGGAAGAGAAGGACTCCAGACTTAGCTGATGAATAAAACGATAACCAATGAATATGATAACTTGGCCGTACCTGAGATATGGTGTGTTAATGTCCCACGAAGAGCTGTTTTAACTCACACTTACCTGGAAAAAGAAAAGGAAAAATATAGTTGACATTACCTGCCGTCTATCTCTCACACACACACACACCGAATACTAATACTCAGCAGTCACTCGGAATTAAGTATGACGATCATCCAGCTATGATACAATGATATGAGTTATTAAGGATGTCACCTAGGTTGGTGAGTTCTGAGGTGATTAAAGAGGCCGATACGGGACCGGCAGGGTCGATCACATATGTTGCACATGTGGGGGGCTACATCTAGTGCGGGAGGGGCGGCGGCAGCGTCTTTCCGGCGTTGGCGCTTGTCTGCCTTGTTATGCAGTCGGGCTAACGCGAAAGTATTGACACCTTCTCGCGTGGTGCTCCTCCAAGCGTTACGGTGTGGAGTAATCGTCTCCCAGGTGAGGGGGTCGATTTGGCACTTTTTCAGGTTTGTTTTAAGACTACCCTTATAACTTTTCAGTTGCCCGCCAGCGTTACGTTTACTATTCGTTAGGTGACTGTAAAGTAGCTGCTTTGGCAGTCTACTGTCGTCCATGCGGGTAACATGGCCAGTCCAGAGCAGTTGTTCATGGATAATGGTAGCCTCGATGCTCCTACAATTGGTATCAGCAAGAATACTGGCATTTGTTCTCTTGTCTTCCCAGTGAACTCTGAGGATGAAACGTAGACTACGTTGGTGAAAGTTTTCAAGTGCTATATGTGACCCATGTCTCACTGCCATATAGCAGGGTGGGAAGGACCACTGCTCGATATACGTGTAACTTTGAAGATAATTTCAGTTCCCTACAGCTGAACACACGGTTTCCGAGTCTGCCAAAGGCTTGAGATGCACATCTGATCCGATGCTGAATCTCTTCATTGATGTCAGCGGTGGTGAACAAGTGGGAGCCAAGATACCGAAAAAGGGTAGGTTGTCCTAGAACCCATTAGAGAGGGTAATACCGTTAAGGTGGATGGATGGTAGAGGTGTGGCTGAACCAGAGGCAAGCCGAAAGAGAATCTGAGTCTTGCGTACATTCACCTCAAGGCCGAAGTGTGCATACGCATTTGCGTAGGTGTTAAGGATCTCCTGTAGGTTGTTTTCAGTGTGAGCAACAAGGGTGAGGTCGTCTGCATACTGAAGCTCAGTAATGGAAGCTGCCGTCACCTTTGTTCCTGCCTGGAGCCGTCTTATGTTGAAAAGATCCTTCATCCGGTACTGGATGCTCACCCCACCGGCTAAATTGGCACTGGCACGAGTAAGGAAGGCAGCCAAGAAAATGGATAAGAGAGTTGGTGCCAGTACACACCCTTGTTTTACCCCCGTTTGGATGGGGAAGAACTCAGACTGGGTGCCATTGTGCAGGACACAATGCCTTCGTGGAGTTGACTCACAATGGAGATGAATTTTGGTGGGCAGCCAAAACGGCTGAGGGTCCGCCAGAGGGCTTCTTTGTTGACTAAATCGAAAGCCTTAGTTAGGTAGATGAAGGCCATGTATAGGGAGTTACCGTCGGATGAGTGGTGGGGGCTGCACGAGTGATTGGCCCATAAAATGTTTTAGTGGAATTGAAAAATTCGCTCACCTTATGTTGGTCTGAAAAAAAATGTGTTTCACATGTCTTATTTTTAAACCAGTCATTCTTTAGACTGCAAAATTCCCGCTGGGCAGCCGCTTTCTTCTTGCAGAAGGTATCAGCTTTGGCCCGAGACCGAGGGTTGTTCTGCCAGCCAGTTAAAGCAGCACGTTTATCATCGACGAGTACATTGATTGGTGGGTCATTTTCATCAAACCAGTCCTGGTGTATTCTTCCGATTTGGCCGAGGGTCTCTCTGCAGGTTTTGTCACACACACACACACACACACACACACACACACACACACCTATATGATTATTAACACTTAACTCACAGGAACAACTAGGACAGAACCAATGATCTTAAGCGTTAGTTTATGCCAAATGAATGACTAAGAGAACTTGTTCAATATGTCAACAACACAACAGTAGTATAGTTACCTTGGGCTGATGGGAACCCTGGTGCCATACAGGGTCACCTCCAGGCACCGTCTTGACACTTTTATGACACCTCATGGCACTTGACGTCACCTTGCTGTACTCCATGACACAGTTTGCCTCCTGCAACACTGAGAGACTTCACAGCACTTTACAACACTTTTCTACACCGTATGACACTATTGTATGTTGCTTGGACACTTTTTAACTATTCAAGACTTCGAGGCTTTATGACACTTTATGACACTATGAAACTATATGGCTTTTTAAGGGACTTTAGGTCATTGACACTTACGGCACTTGACACTTTAGAAAAATTCATGACATCTTCTTAACGCGGACACTTTACTACACTTATAAACACTTTACGTTACTTACGAATACCTTATGATACATGTGATCACTTCACAATAACTGGGGAAATTTTACGGCACTTAAAATCAATTTTTTTAAACCTACACTGAGACGCTTACTGTACAGTATAACTACTTTACGACGCTTATATACACTTTGTGACACTAATAACTACTTTACGACACTTATAAAACCTTCATGACACTTGATACGCTTCATGGCACTTATAAACACTTTACTACACTAACAAACACTTGCCGATACTTTTCAGTCCTCGTCAGTTTGAGTCTTCACTTCACCGGCTATAAGCCTTCGTGTACGTCCTTACCGGCACTGAGGTACAGACAACACTGTGTGTCTTGCTAGAGGCCTCTGTTGACATTCTCATATACAGCGAAACAACGAAGCAGATTCAAGACTTGAGCGAACCGACCAAACCTCGTCCCAGTGTTATAACGGACTGAGTTCGGTCTTGTTTTACTCATTCGTTTCTCCACACATGCAGCTTTAGAGATCTTTGTCTTTATCTGTTCTAATTATAAAGTATAAGGCAATGTATTACACAAGATTATAGGCCAATATTGTAGTTCGTATAATGACTCATGTTTGGATGATTGAGTCTGATGTATCGAAAAGCTGTTCCTGAACCCTCGAACACTTCCGTCTCGATGTCTCAAAGTGGTGACAGTCAACTGGTGACGAAAAGTATCCAAAATTATCTATTTTGTTTATCCCGCTTTATTTGCTCATTAGAGCAAACAAACAAACAAACAAAAGGGGAACAAACGGAAATGAGAGACATTTATATTTAATACAACAAATAACGATAAAACACATTTTATATTATTTTCTTATTCCGAAAGTCAACGGTTTCGAAGACGTGTGTGATGTCTGAGGACCACCAACCCAGACCACGACTAAACCAACAGTCTCCACACACCTGTCTGGTATAATATTTTACACAGACTACACACAAACAAAAGAAAATTAATTACCTTAAACTTTATTCATGAAACGTGTTCAAAGACAGGATGTTAGGCGTGTCTTAGTTTACCTGTGTAATTAACCAAACAATTATCTACTGCCCATGGGCAGCCTCTTTGTGGAGGCCCCCTTCATTATAACTACCCAAGAGGGTGGGGTGGCGAGTGAACCGAGCCTAAACATCTGGGAGTTCCGGGGGGCGCTGTAAGCCCCCCGGGAAAATTTTGAAATCTGAACACTTCTTTGGAGAATTTTGAAGCCATACGCAGTTATATTGAGGAAATTAGAACATTGAGAAATTTTTAATTAACTGTATATTTATTGATAGTGTACAAATTCCCAACACACACACACACACGTGAGACATGACTGGAGTCATTCATATGGTTTCAAGTCGACCAGCCCTGATATACGGTTCATAGGAAAGTCAGGTATTCATGAATTTTAAGGAGTAGCTAGCCTCCGTGCTACTGTTGCATAATTTCCTCGTTTTTCTTGAATATAATAACAGGCTGTGGTTACCAGAGGCTGACTGACATGTAAACACTTAAGGAGCTGATTTTAAAACACATTTCTATTCACAGTGTCTGGTGCTGTCCGTCCAGGCAGTCTGGTAGCGTTAATGGGCTCTAGGTGAGTGTCTTAATCCTTAGTTCTTAACACTTGTCAACCTCTTAGTCACTATGCCTTAACTTGTGAATATAACCCCTTTAACTTGAATACTTAACCCCTTTAACTTGAATACTTAACCCCTTTAACTTGAATACTTAACCTCCTTAACTTGAATACTTAACCCCTTTAACTTGAATGCTTAACCCCTTTAACTTGAATACTTAACCCCTTTAACTTGAATACTTAACCTCCTTAACTTGAATACTTAACCCCTTTAACTTGAATACTTAACCCCTTTAACTTGAATACTTAATCCCTTTAACTTGAATACTTAACCTCCTTAACTTGAATAATTAACCCCTTTAACTTGAATACTTAACCCCTTTAACTTGAATACTTAACCACACTAACTTGAATACTTAACCCCTTTAACTTGAATACTTAACCCCTTTAACTTGAATACTTAACCTTTTTAACCTGAATACTTAACCCCTTTAACTTGAATACTTAACCCCGCTACTTAAATACTTAACCCCTTTCACGTGTATAATTAACCCCTTTAAATTGTATACTGAACCTCTTTGTCGAATATGGTGAATACCTTTATCTATCTATCTATCTATCTATCTATCTATTCCCCCGTGTACTTATGTTTCAGTTCGTATTAAGGGGGTCAGTGTGTTTTAGTTCGTATTAAGGGGGTCAGTGTGTGTTGAAGAAGCCCTCCGGGTCTTCCCTTAATATCACTGGCCTACATCTTCTTCGTCTTCTGTCGTCCTGTGAAAAACAACAGAAATAATACTGAAGATTAGCCACCCAATCTAACCTAACCTAACTTAACGTAATCTAACCTAACCTGACCTATTTTACCCTCACCTAACTTAACCTAATCTATTTCACCGTATCATTGACATTAACCACCAGAAAGCAAATGTGACCTAACTTAATCTAATTTAACGTAACATGACCTAACCTAACCTTATCTAACATAACGTAACCTAATTTAATCGAACCAAATCCTAATCCAACTTAAACAAATCTAACCTAGTCTAATCAATCTAACCTAATCCACCAGGTACCGTTGGTGTATTAATCACCAGGTGAAATAAACTGTATGGCTCATCTTCAAGTATAATAAAATAGACAAAGTTACATTAAAATGGTATATATCCAAAGTAATTTAACACGACCTTAACTATTTTATAAGACTTTCGACTTACAATAACCTTTCAAGAACCTTTCAATGATGTTTAGTAATTAACAATAGTAATTCTATTTTTGTCACAACCAAACACACACACACACACACACGTCATTCTACCTATCCCGAAACAAAGGAAGAATGACGTGTGTGTATGTCAGTCTCTCCAGGTGTAGAGAGCAGCGATGCCACTGTGTAGATGATCTGTCGTGATCAAGGTTCAGTAGATAAGTTGAGGGCTCAATACATTGTGGTTCCTCTCAGCTATAGAGGGCAGGGGTTTCTCTCAGCTATAGAGGGCAGGGGTTCCTCTCAGCTATAGAGGGCAGGGGTTCCTCTCAGCTATAGAGGGCAGGGGTTTCTCTCAGCTATAGAGGGCAGGGGTTTCTCTCAGCTACACAGAGGCAGGGGTCTTCCCAGCTGGCGCAGAGGGCAGGGGTTTCTCCTCAGCCATAGAGGGCAGGGTTTCCTCTCTCAGCCATAGAGGCCTCCTCAGCCATAGAGGGCAGGGGTTTCTCCTCACAGAGGGCAGGGTTCCTCCCCAGCTATAGAGGGCAGGGGTTTTCAGCTATAGAGGGCAGGAAGGCTCTCAGCTATAGGGGAGGGCAGGGGTTTCTCTCAGCTATAGAGGGCAGGGTTCCTCTCAGCCATAGAGGGCAGGGGTTTCTCTCAGCTCATAAGAGGGCAGGGGCTTTCTCAGCTATAGAGGGCAGGGGCTTCTCTCTAGCCATAGAGGCAGGGGTTCTCTGTGCCATAGAGGGCAGGGCTTCTCCCAGCTATAGAGGGCAGGGGTTTTCTCAGCTATAGAGTGGCAGGGGTTTCTTCAGCTACAGAGGGCAGGGGTTTCTCTCAGCTTACAGAGGAAGCTTTCAGCCATAGAGTGGTGCTCTCTCTCAGATACAGAGGGCAGGGGTTTCTCTCAGCTACAGAGGCAAGGGCCTTCCAAGCTATAGAGAGGGCAGGGCTTCTCTCAGCTATAGAGGGCAGGGGTTTCTCTAAATACAGAGGGCAGGGGTTTCTCCCAGCTATAGAGTGGCAGGGGTTTCTCTCAGCCATAGAGGTGTGCTTCTCTCAGCCATAGAGGGCAGGGTTTCTCCTGGGGCCATAGAGGGCAGGGGTTCCTCTCAGCCATAGAGGGCAGGGTTTCTCTCAGCTATAGAGGGTGGCTTCTCTCAGCTATAGAGGGGCAGGGGCTTCTCCCTCAGCTATAGAGGGCAGGGTTTCTTTCCTCAGCTATAGAGGGCAGGGTTCCCCAGCCATAGAGGGTGTGGGGTTTTCAGCTTAGCAGAGGGCAGGGGTTCCTCTCAGGCCATAGAGGCAGGGGTTTCCTTCAGCTTTAGAGGGCAGGGTTCTCAGCCATAGAGGGCAGGGTTTCTCTCAGCTATAGAGGCAGGGTTTCTCCTCAGCCATAGAGGGCAGTTTCTCTCAGCTATAGAGGGCAGGGGTCTCAGCCATAGATGGGCAGGGGTTCCTCCCAGCGCAGGAGTGTGGTGGGTCCTCCTCAGCCATAGAGGGCAGTGCCTTCAGCTTAGAGGGCAGGGTCTCTGGCTGCAGGGGAGGCAGGGGCCGCCATAGAGGGCAGGGGTTTCTCTCTCAGCTGTAGAGGGCAGGGGTTTCTCTCAGCCATAGAGGGCAGGGCCTTCAGCTATAGAGGGCAGGGCTCTTCTCAGCTATAGAGGGCAGGGTTTCTCTCAGCCATAGAGGGCAGGGGTTTCTCTTCAGCTATAGAGGGCAGGGGTTCCTCCTCAGCTATAGAGGGCAGGGGTTTCTCTCACAGCAGGGTAGTGGGGCTCTCTGGCCATAGAGGGCAGGGGGTTCCTTCCCTGCCATAGAGGGTGGGTTCCTCTCAGCCATAGAGGCAGGGCTTTCTCAGCCATAGAGTGGCAAGGGTTCCTCCTCAGCTTTAGGAGGGCAGGGGTTCCTCCCCACATAGGGAGGTGTCCCTCTCACATAGAGGCAGGGGTTTCTCCCCACCATAGAGGGCAGGGGTTTCTCTCAGCTATAGAGGGCAGGGCTTTCCCTCAGCTATAGAGGGCAGGGGTTCCTCTCAGCCACAGAGGGCAGGGTTTCTCTCAGCCATAGAGGGCAGGGGTTTCTTCCTCATAGAGGGCAGGGTTTCTCTCAGCTATAGAGGGCAGGGCTTTCCTCAGCTATAGAGGGCAGGGGTTTCCTCTGGCCATAGAGGGCAGGGCTTCTCAGCCATAGAGGGCAGGGCTTCTCTCAGCCATAGAGGGCAGGGTTTCCCTTCAGCTACAGAGGCAGTGCTTTCTCAGCCATAGAGGGCAGGGGTTTCTCTCAGCTATAGAGGGCAGGGGTTTCTTCTCAGCTATAGAGTGTGGGTTTTCCCAGCAGGGGCTTTCTCCCTAATGGTAGGAGGCAGGGTTTCTCCTCAGCCATAGAGGGCAGGGTTTCTCAGCTACAGAGGGCAGGGTTTCTCCCTGAACACAGAGTGGCAGGGTTTCTCTCAGCCATAAAGAGGGCAGGGGCTCTCTCAGCCACAGAGGGCAGGGCTCTCTCAGCCATAGAGGGCAGGGTTCCTCTCAGCCACAGAGTGGCAGGGCTCTCCTCAGCCACAGAGGGCAGGGCTCTCCCTCACAGCCACAGAGGGCAGGGCCCTTCTCCCAGCCATAGAGAGGGTACAGGGGTTTCTCTCAGCTACAGAGGGCAGGGTTTCCTCTCAGCCATAGAGGGCAGGGTTTCTCTCAGCTATAGAGGCAGGGGTTTCTCTGGGGCCATAGAGGGCAGGGCTCTCAGCCATAGAGGGCAGGGGTTCCCTTCCCCAGCTATAGAGGGCAGTTTCCTCAGCTATAGAGGGCAGGGGTTTCTCAGCTATAGAGGGCAGGGGTTTCTCTCATAGCTATAGAGGGCAGGGGTTCCTCTCAGATATACAGAGGCAGGGCTTCTCTCAGCTACAGAGGGCAGTGGTTTCTCTCAGCCATAGAGGCAGGGGTTCCTCCTCAGACATAGAGGGCAGGGGTTTCTCTCCCCAGCTATAGAGGGCAGTGGGGTTCCTCTCAGCTATAGAGAGGCAGGGTTTCTTCAGCTATAGAGGGCAGGGGTTTTCCAGCCAGCAGAGGGCAGGGTTTTCAGCTATAGAGGGCAGGGACCCTCTCAGACATAGAGGGCAGGGCTTTCCCCAGCCATAGAGGGTGGGGTTTCTTCCCAGCTATAGAGGGCAGGGTTCCTCTCAGATATAGAGTGGGCAGGGTTTCTCTCAGCTATAGAGGTAGGGGTTTCAGCCATAGAGGGCAGGGGTTTCTCAGCTATAGAGGGCAGGGCTTCTCTTCTCAGCTATAGAGGGTACAGGGGTTTCTCTCAGCCATAGAGGCAGGGGCTCTCAGCCAGGAGAGGGTAGGGGCTTCTTCTCAGCTATAGAGGGCAGGGGTTTCTTCCCCAGCTATAGAGGGCATGGGGTTCCTTCCCTCAGCTATAGAGGGCAGGGGTTTCTCTCAGCTATAGAGAGGGCAGGGTTTCCTTCAGCCATAGAGGGCAGGGGTTCCTCTGGCCATAGAGAGGGCAGGGTTTCTCAGCCACAGAGGGCAGGGGTTTCTTCAGCCATAGAGGGCAGTGGGTTCCCCAGCCATAGAGGCAGGGGTTTCTCTTAGCCATAGAGAGGGCAGGGGTTTCTCTCAGCTACAGAGGGCAGGGTTTCTCTCAGCTATAGAGGGCAGGGGTTCCTCAGATATAGAGGCAGGGTTTTCTCTCAGCCATAGAGAGGGCAGGGTTTTCTCAGCTATAGAGTGGCAGGCTTTCCAGCTATAGAGGGTGCAGGGCTTCTTCTCAGCTATAGAGGGCAGGGCCCCTTCTCAGATATAGAGGCAGGGGTTTTCTCACATAGAGGGCAGGGGTTTCTCTCAGCTATAGAGGGAGGCAGGGTTCCTTCTCAGCTATAGAGGGCAGGGGTTTCTTCAGCTATAGAGGGCAGGGGGTTTCTCTTCAGCTATAGAGGGCAGGGGTTTCTCTCAGCCATAGAGGGCAGGGTTCCTCTCAGCCATAGAGGGCAGGGCTTTCTCAGCTATAGAGGGCAGGGGCTTTCTCAGCCATAGAGGGCAGCCAGAGCTTACAGAGGGCAGGGTTTTCCCAGCTATAGAGTACAGGGTTTCCTCTCAGCTACAGAGGGCAGGGGTTTTCCCAATATAGAGGGCAGGGCCTTTCCCCAGCCATAGAGGCAGGGCTCTTCCTCAGCTATAGAGGGCAGGGGCTTCTCTCAGCTATAGAGGGCAGGGGCTTCTCTCAGCTATAGAGGGCAGGGGCTTCTCTCAGCTATAGAGGGCAGGGGTTTCTCTCAGCTGAATGAAATCGTCTGGCGTGGTTGTGTTACGTTTAGTAATATTCTCACGTTGTCATTTTGTAGTGAGAGCTAACGAGATTTATTTTACATTGTTCGTTAAATTCGTGATTGTCCGTCCTAGAGAACAAAATATCGTTGGTTGTGGTGGAGGGGAGGAAGACAGTGCTACACTATACTCCGTGTAAGGGGCGGGTCACACCTGAGTGAGGCAGGTGACACCACCTGTCACCTAAGGAGACGGGGCTTCTACTCTCACCCTCACTTGCTGCTACACCACCTGGCTTCTGGTGCTGTCATCTCAGAGGCGCTCTCGACTGATGAGTGTGTGTGTGTGTGTGTGTGTGTGTGTGTGTGTGTGTGTGTGTGTGTGTGTGTAACTTCAGCATTGCATAGTGATGAGAATTAGGTTTTAAATTTGCAGATTTTTAGAGAAGTTATTATTAAGGTGGTCTTGACTTCTCTAAGAAATGAAAGTATCAATCCCCCTGTGAGAAGCTGAACGGGTAGTTTGAAAAGTTATTTTATATAACAAATGAGGAAAATTAATGCATATGTAAATTCCATTTCTGAAGTTTTCTGTCTGTGTGTATCATTATCTCTGCAATACTTGGTGAGTCGCTTCCCGTGACCGCTGGATGGGTCAGGTTACCCCTAAGAAAATAGAAACGCTTATCGTCATATCTCAATCAAATGAAGCCCACAGCCTCACACTTTAGTTTTATCAACCTGAGCGTTGGATTTCTTTATCTGTACTAGGCTGACTATCTGATATATCTGGGATAATACTTTTAAAATATAAACATTTCAGTCTTATTCCTCTCACCTAATGATGTACAGAAAACTGAGCATGCATGTTGTCAGTGACTGTCTGAGTCCCTGTCTTGGGCTGAACCTTTAAGAAAACTGTGAGTGTTGAGTGACTCTCTCTCGGTAACAGTGGAGCGGGCAAGTCAACCCTGATGAACGCCCTGGCCCACCGCACCCCGGGGGGCGTGATCGTGGACGGGGACATCTTGGTCAACAGCCGCCGCGTCAGCAGGTCAATGACGTCCCTGGCAGGTTACGTGCACCAGGATGATCTCTTCGTCGGCTCCCTCACCGTAAAGGAGCACCTCACCTTCATGGTACTTTACCGAGCTTGTCTTTGTTTGTTTGTTTGTTTTATTATATTTATTATCACCACCTGGAAAGCACTGTACCTATACGCCATAAATATCTCGTATAACTCACACAGACTCGGTTAAGGATGGACCGTCGGCGGAGCAACAAGCAGCGATTGGCGCGGGTGATGGAGCTGATGAAGGAGCTTGGCTTACTGAAGGCCCAGAACACACGTATAGGCGTCCCCGGCCACGACAAGTCCCTCTCTGGTGGGGAGCGTAAGAGACTTGCTTTCGCCACAGAGGTAACACAGTCCTTCTCTATGTTCCATGCTCCTCGTCTTCCTCTTCTTCTCTTACTACGTCTTCTTAACACACACAAATGTGTCTCAGGCTACAAGAAGTCTTTGTCTGGGGAGAATCACATGAAGCTTATCTTCACCACAGTGACCACAAGTTGTGTCCACTCTCTCTCTCTCTCTCTCTCTCTTCTTCTTCTTCTTCTTCTTCTTCTTCTTCTTCCTCTGTCTCTCTTACTGCTGTTCATTTATTCTTCTTCCACTTCTACACCTCCATTTTTATCTCGCCTTCTTTCACTGTAAGCTCCTCTTCTACCACCCTTGAGAGTTCTAATCTATCAGTGAGACAGGTGTTATATCAATGGTCTGTATAACAAACTGGTCTAAGGTCCTTATAGCGTCACTATTGCTTTTTTCACTAAAACAGTTGATAATTAATGTTCAACTGGATACACTTTCCCAGGCAGCTGCGCTTGTGTTGGGAAAGAGAATTTGGGCAGGATCGAACCTTTAATTTGGTATTTTTACGTGTAAACTAAAATTAATTGCCGATATTCAGTCATTTGTAATTTAGTAGATGGCTTTAAAGAGCTTATTGATTCACCTCCAGGAGTATGTTGAAATGTCACTTGTTGCAGATCTTGACAGACCCGCCGTTGCTGTTCTGTGACGAGCCAACTACAGGACTGGACTCGTACAATGCCAGGAAGTTAGTCCGGATTATGAAGGATATGGGCACCCGCGGCAAGACCATCCTGTGTACCATCCACCAGCCATCGTCTGAGGTATTCGCCATGTTTGACAAGCTGCTGTTGCTGGCTGAAGGTCGTGTTGCCTACATGGGCTCCTCCTCGGGAGCTCTTGAGTTCCTCGACAGGTGAGATACTCGGGTAGAAGTGCTAGGCTAATAACGATGACCAAGATACTAGTTTTTACAGCAGTATGGGGGTATTGTTGTAACGAAGTAAAGTACAACGCTTGAGACAATAAATTACAGTTATGATAATTTTTACAATTTAATGCACAAGTCACTTTAGATTTTGCAAAGAGTTTTAGTAGAAATGAATTATTACTTGAGTTACGTTGTTGACTACCAGTGGTGGATGATAGCGGGAGCAAATGGGGCATTTACCCCCGGCCCCAGACCTTGACCAGGCCAAAAATATTGAGTGAATATTATTTTATTGTAGTTTCTCGATTTTACAAACGAAAATAACTGTATGGGCATAGTGTGAGGGTGTGAGAGGCTGTTGTGACGGTGTATGTCTGTGAGGGTGTATGTCTGTGAGGGTGTGTGGGGCAGCTGTGACGGTACATGTCTGTGACGGTGTGTGGGGCAGCTGTGACGGTACATGTCTGTGACGGTGTACAGTTATTAATATAACCTTCAACTGTAAATAAGTCAGGAGACAAGAGATTATTTACTCAACCTCAGACAACCTGAGCTCCGGGGGTGACCGTGAGACCAGCCCCCCAAGATATACTGTGCCCTGGCCCTGGCAAGGCTTAATACGGCCCTGTTGGTAGACTGTTCACTCACTGTAGCCAAGCTCCGGGGGTGACCGTGAGACCGGCCCCAAGATATACTGTGCCCCGGCCCTGGCAAGGCTAAATACGTCCCTCTTGACTACCAGTTTCTGTGCTTTCAGTGATGCTAAATAATGTGCGTCACTTTTATATTTCAAGAACTTCACTTAATAACCCTATATTAATTATACTATGTTGGGCATAAGATTAACAATTTCATACCTTGAAAATTGTATGCAAATGTATGCTGAATTTTAATGGGATGTCATGTTGGGAGTAAATGTTGCACCTGTAAATATCCAGCCTAGGCCACAAGTGTCCAGCGACTTTCAACCCCGCTGACTACTACATCCACACGCTGGCGGTGCTGCCCGGCCACGAACACCGCTCCAGGGAACGTATCAAGAGGATCTGCGACAACTTTGCCGTCTCAGCCTACTGTAAGGACATAGACATCACCATACAGTACCAGGACAACATGTGCATCTCCAATTCTGACTCTGGTGGCAGTGTAAGATGTCTTAATGTTCTTTCACTTCTGTAAATTTGCCCTAATCTAACCTAACCTAATCTAATATCAAATTAACTTATCTGTGTTTCTAATATAATATAATATATAATATAATATAGGCCTAATACACCTCATTGATAAACAAATTATTATTTTTTCTGCAAACTTTCCGCTCATTTACACTGGTAAGTTGATTTCTTTTATTTATATATATATTTGTACTGTTAGAAGCAAATACTATGTAATAATTTTTGTTAACTCTCGTCTCCTCCAGTAGTCTTTATTACTGACGTAGATGAAGGGTCATTGTATAGAAAATACTTTAGGTCTTGTTTTATTAATTCTTGATTTATCTGAGTGTAGTTTGAGGACTTGTTCTCTCCTGAGAATACAAAACATGTTGTAATCTCACTAAGACGTTGATAATGAGAGTATCTTTCGCAAATATGTCCTGAGTTCGAACCCTGGCCCCTGACAGATGTGATAAGGGTGTTAGCCAGTATAACCCTCCCAAACACGGCAGGTTTCCGCTGGTTACAGTACAGTACAATACTGCGGTTTCCTTCTGTACAAGTACAGGACAATATAGTAGAAAAATAACTTAACAAAGAACAGACCAACCGAGCAAACGACTCTTTAGTTGATAAGTGGTGAAATAGTTAATTAAATTAGAAATAAATAATGTCAGATGAACTTACACTCAAATGTTGGATAAATTTTGTAAACCTACGTAACTTTTACAAATACAGACTGAGATGATCAGGTTGATTCTTCTACCAATAAAGCTTCACTGAGGTAGAGATGTGGTCATCAAGGCCAGACCTTGTATTAGAAGTAAAAGTAACATAAACTTGTATAAGATTTTTACAGGTGGAGTCAGACTTGTTTTAAAGGTTACCAAAAGAATGACTTAACAGCGACCCGACCTTCTGTAGTACTGTACTACAGGTGGGGTGGCCACAGCTGTAGTACAGTGAACAGCTGTGGTCACCACACCTGTAGTACAGTGTAGACAACTTTAAGACTATTTATGATGCTCACTTAACTTAACCTCTCAGATAGAACAGTATCAAAATGTTTAATCACCAGGAGAGACATAACCTGGGGTTGATCATGCAGCTCATCATGTATAGTAATTGTTTAGGTCTTATTTTGTCTTTTAATTTCTTCATTTCTCTTTCAGCATCAGGACGACGGCTTCTCCAGGAACATCCCGTAAGTGCATCTACAACCTGTCTGTGTGAGTGTGGTTTATTTTTTTGTAGGTGTAGATCTATACACAGTCTGCACCCCCTCCCACAACAACAACAATAACAACCATGAGGGATATGGTGATATGTGATTACTGCGGGGGGATGACGGATCTGGATGAGACAGGCCTGACCAATGCAACGTTTAGGAAGATGGTAACTGCCGTAAAGCATGAAGGCTTTTGCTGGTATTGCCCTGACTGCATAGTCAAGGTGAAAGGGGCGATTGCAAGCCATAAAGGAACGAGTTCCCTAGGGACGAAAATAGATGAAGTTGGAGTCTTGCTGGTTGCCAAACTAGAGCAAGTTGGGAAAGATATCCTTGCTAAGACTGAGGAAGTAGCCGATAGAATGAAGATGGTTGCTAAGAGGAGTTATGCTGAGGCATTAGCAGGGCCACGGGAGGGGGCGGAGAGTAATGCAGGATCAGAACAGGTTCTACAGCAGCTAGGGACTCTGAAGAAGTGTGTCAAAGAAATGATAATTAACGAACCTACTGTTAGGGGAGAGGAGGAACAACGGAAACGTTTCCAGCACAGGAACAATGTAACAGTTTTTGGAGTCCCAGAGAGCCAGGCGGAGGGAACTGAGAGTAAGGCAACACACGATAAGATGCAGTTTAAGAATATTTGTACAGAGGTTCTGAAGATGCCATCAACCCCACAGGATGTGAGGAGGCTGGGACAAAAGCAGGGGATAAGCCTCACCCCCTCAGGATCACACTAGTGAGTGAGGAGGAGAAATGGGAGGTTATTCGGCAGGCAAAAAACTTAGCAAGGAGCGAGGCATCTCGGAGTGTATTCATTCACCCAGATCGCACGGTAGTGCAGAGGAAACAGCACAAGAAGCGCCTGCAGGATATACTGCCAGATTCTGAGGTCACTAAGTCTAAGGGGATAACTTAACCCAATTCTTAATTTCTAAGGGTTGCTGTCACCAGACCCCCTCTGGGCAGTATGTAGCTCGTTAGGTAGCGGGCAGAGTGAACTAGGCATTGGGGTTAGGTTTTTCATTGACCAGATCGATAAGGGGAAAGAAGGGTGAAACCATAACATGTCTTAACTAATTTATTCCTTATAAAACATACTGCATTCCGTTAAAATACACGTGAGTTGGTCTTCCTCAGAAGAACAACGATGATTCTGGTTAACCTGCTCGACAACAGACGTCTTACATTAGTTGCGTGTCATCCACCTACTTATTGCATAACAATGAGTGACCTCCTTACCTCGGTCATCCCTTCTTACAATAACACTCAACACGTCAGACTGCTCCACCTGTATGGAATATAGCCCCTTAGGTTATCCTACATAATAGCACCAGCTCACCTCACCTCACCTGTTACACTCCACACCTGCAAGTATGGGACTCCTTGTAATTTCTAGGTACACATATTAGGCACCTCGTTCGCACACCGCCCTCGGTGGGTAGAGATGAGGGCTTCACCAAGAGACATACCAGTACTGTTTCTACGCCTGGTATTATAGGTCGCTCCAAGTGACGACCGCGGAGTTTCTCAACATTCCGTTATATATTTCCACTCATGTGTGGTGTAATGCCGGGAATACACAGGTTCACAGTGGATTAGCATAGCTGTGAGTAGTCATCTCACATGGTCGGACGCTCAAGGGGGTAATGGCCGTCGTGCTGGCGAGTTCAGAGCACGCGGGGGACCTGAGTTGATGAAAGGAGCAGGCACGTCTGAGAAATAATGAGTGATGGGCCGTGATCACCCACCCCCAACACAGTACTATGTCACTTTATACATCAGGCAAAGTTTTATCTGTAATAACTTCTATATAAGTCTCTTTTTTTAGGGCTGAATCATCAAGGTCTGTCTCTTTCACGAGTGTGGGGAAATGAACAGCCAATTGTGCAATTTATTTAACATTTCACTGCGGAGACAGAGCAACTTTTGGGTCCATAATAGTAAGCTGTGCTAGGACACTATCTTCTTCTAGGGGAAATCTCTTCCTTATTTGCACACACAGTTCTGCTAACAATTTCTGACAGTCAACAAGGAACCTTTCTTTAATTTCCCCTCGTGGTTCTTTCAGTAGCAAAGCTTCACATCTTCCAGCCGGATACTGACCGCCAACTGAACCTGCCCAGAGTCCGTACAGTCGTGTCCACTCCCGGCCCTCCCTTGCTGAACTTCAATGATGAAAAACTAGTCCATGACTTATATTTTATCATCAATCACAATCACCGTGTATATTTTTGTCTCGTTTCTAATCGATTAAGTATAATTACGTTTTATTATATACTATATTATTGCAGAGCACGCATCAAAATATTATGTTTCGATACACTTAACAAAAACTCCAAGATTTATTGGATTCTAAGGCAAAAACTCCAAGACTCCAAGGTCGAAGCAAAAAACCCAAGATCTAGTAGAAAAACCCAAAGAGTGGCAACACTGGGCACGTCTGAAGGCCGATGCCCCCCGCTCCTCCCACCGACTTAGGCCTACAGTTTCCAAACTTTAATTTTTACTTTGATTTCTTATGGATCTCATATGAACACTTTCCCGTTTATTGTGACCTGGTGTCTTATAAATACATATTTTAATCCTAACTTACATACTAGAATACGGTTCAGATTTGACAGTTCTTGGGGAAATTAATTGGGCTATATCAACAATTCTCACCTGTAGGCTGGGCACAAAGGACGCTACCCTATAGGCCTATAGTTTCCAATCTTTAATTTTCACTTTGAATTCTTATGGTTCTCACATCTCCATTTTCCTATCTATTGTGACCTCATGCTTTATAAATACATATCTTAATCCTTTGAAGCATAGTTTCTGGATCACTTCCAACACTTCACATAGTTTTGATACCTTTATCCTTTTTCCAGATCATTGTTCTCATGTATTTTCATCTGATATCTACGGAAGTTATGTTCATTATACATTCACAGACGTAAATCGTATGACCTTCAAACCACAATCTACACTTAGCCCGGATAGTACACTAACCCGGATCAATTGGACTCTCGCAACCATCCTATAGATACCTTGAGTTCTCCTTAATGCTATGAGTACCTACAATTAATATTATATACCCGTAGTTGGGTACAATTCATCAAATAATTCCGTAACATTCATAAGTTGAGTTATTCCTTATCAATGTTTCCCGTTTTCTGAGATTCTACAAGCGCGGGGGATTTGAATGTTATGTAGCGTAATATGAATTAAAGGGGGTCTTTAGGAATGACAATGATGTGCGCAGTACAGGGCCACTGTCTGTTTTTCTTCTCAGCACCACGAGAACTCTCAATTTTATGCTTGCCAGCCATTTTAAAGAGAATTACAAACAAAAATTTTGTCAGTACACAACGCTATCACTAACAACAACGACGGCCAAACACCTACCCAGCGGGCTACGTCGTGGCTGCTGTACACCACGAGGCGGCCCAGCCCAAGCTATCGTATGGCGTCACATTACAACCAAACGTCGGGACTCGAAAATACGTAATGTGAAAAATATTTTATACGACCATGGCCGTCGTATGACCGGGTTTTCGTAAATCTAGGAGAGACTGTAGTAGTAGTAAACAACAAGGCCCCAAGAGGTGATACCATCTTACAGTCAACCGAGGGAACAACACAGGGGGACCCTGTTGCAATGGCAATGTATGCAATAGGCCTATCAGTGCTCCAACAAGAAATAAAATTTGAAACAACTGAGGCCAAACAAGTGGCGTATGCTGACGACCTTACAGGAGCAGGAAAAATGGAGGACATCAAAATGTGGTGGGACTTGGCAACATCGCGAGGTCCACAAATAGGGTACCACCCAAACGCCAGCAAGTCCTTCCTCATCGTGAAGCCAGAACATTATGAACGGGCAAAGGAGGTTTTTGGCGGAAGTGAAGTCAAAATAACTAAGGACGGTCAAAGACATCTAGGCGCAGTAATTGGAACTACGGACTTCAAGACCGAGTACGTAGCGGGAAAGGTGAATGAGTGGGTTAGTGAAATCCAAGCTCTGTCTGAGATTGCTAACACAGAGCCACATGCGGCTTTCGCTGCATTCACCCATGGAGTCAAGCATCGTTGGAACTACCTGATGCGTACTATCCCTTGTGTCGGACCCCTCCTCCACCCTCTGGAAGAAGCTATCAGTGTCAAGTTCATTCCCAAATTAGTGAAACACACTCACTTAACCCCAGCAGAAAGAGCACTTCTTGCACTTCCATCAAGACTGGGAGGGATGGGACTAACCAATCCAGAGGAGATTGCAGCCACCGAACATCAAAATTCACTTAAGCTCACGGCAGCCCTCACGGACTACATAATAGCCCAAAACGCAACAGGGGAGGTCGTGACCCAAAGAAGTAAACGAGATTCGTAGGTCCATTACGACAGATCGACAGCACTGCCAAAATGATAAGTTGCAGCAACTGTTGCTGCAGGTTCCAGAAAATTTGAAAAAAAAGTAGCTATAGCGCAGGAGGTGGGCGCCTCGAACTGGTTAACTACGTTACCGATAAGGGCAAATGGTTTCAGTCTTAACAAACAAGAATTTACAGATGCCAATGCTCTAAGGTACGGTCGGCCAGTAGAAGGTTTGCCCTCCCAATGCGTGTGTGGCTCTTCCTATGACGGCGATCACGCCATGGTGTGCAAAAAAGGGGGCTTCATATGCATGAGGCATGATGAAGTAAGGGATCTCACAGCAAATATGTTGAAGGAAATCTGCCGGGATGTCATGGTAGAACCGACCCTCCTTCCATTGGATGGTGAGATCCTCCAACATAGGACTTCAAACACATCTAACGAAGCCCATGTTGACGTCAGTGCTCGAGGATTCTGGACGCGAAGGTGTGGCTATTGGGGGAGGCTGGAGGCAAGGTTAAAAAAAAAAAAAAGTAGTAGTAGTAGTAATAGTAGTAGTAGTAGTAGTGTGTGTGGTTCAGAACCTTCTTTACTTCATCCACCTACAATAAATTGAAGGTATCTTGTAAGTTGGTCAAGTCATGGGACAATTACATATTATCCTCATGTACATCTATCATGTCAAGATACTCAATTGACTAGTTGTTTAATTTGTTACTTTCTACTTAGTTATAAGCAAATGTGATTGTGTTGTAGTGTAAAAATGATTGTTTTAGCAAGGCTTATAATGTCCAGTAGTGTGGACAACTTAGGCAAAGATGAGAATCTTAGACTGTGTTGACCCTGCAGACAGAAGCCCGGGTGGGTGGTGCAGCTGTGGTGGTTAACATGGCGCTCACTCGTTGACTCCTACAGGAACCCTGCCATCCACTCTATCAGGATATTGCAGAAGATCGTGAGTGTTGCTCATTCCACCATTCCTCTCGTCTGTCGCATTCAGTCAGATACATTCAGATTCCTTCTAATTTTTGAACTTTCATTAAATTTCCTGGATAATATCAAAATGTTAAAGCTTCTGTATTTTTATATAAAGAATGTGATAACCAACACTAGGGTCTGTGAGGTAGCCCTTTATGTGGCCTTTGATAATACTTAGGGAGAAGTAATTCTTTCAGGTCAATAGAGTTTGACAAATTCCTGTTTCAGTTGTGGATGAGATCATGCTGCTTCTCCTTAACTAGTTCTCTTCCATTTTGTTGTGGTGTCATACAGTGAGCTGTACTGTATTGTGTTGGGGAATATCGACCTCCAGGCGGACATTTTGTTAATATTTTTTCTCCATGTTAAGAAGCTCTCACTTTAGAACAACCATTTTCATAGCATTAATTAAATACTGTAATAGGAACACAAGAGTATGAGTACTGTATTACACAAATAATTGTTGTAGTTCTGCAGTATTAGTTGATCAACATAATTTTGATGACTTTAACGTCCTATCTCCCGGACAGCTTATTGCCTTCTTGGTGGGAGTCTGTTACACAAATGTCAAGCTGAACCAGGCGGGCATCCAGGACATAGAAGGTGTCCTCTTCATCTTCATCACCGAGAACACATTTCCTTCCCTTTATGGAGTTCTTAACATCTTCCCCCAAGAGATGCCGCTCTTCCTCAGGGAGTACAAGAATGGCATTTATCGGGCAGACACTTACTACCTGGCCAAGATGATTGCCCTCGTAAGTGTTGTAATTATCTGGGAGTATTAATCGTGTGTTGGCAGTTTGTCAGTTTTCTCTACTATAGGAGTTTATTTGTATGACTCAGACTTACTGAATGTATCATGATTCTCATTGTCCAGCCAATGGTCTTAGCTGTAAAGAATGTTAAGTTTCTCCAAAGATAAAATTAAAGTTAATAAAAGTAGTCATCATACACACAACAGATGTCATACCTTAAAGATTCAACAAGAGTCGACTGTAAACAGCAAAGCTCACCTTTGGGTGTACAGTATTTTTTCACCAGGCACCTTCTTTCAGGGATTGTGAACTTGCACCAAATTTGACAGGTTTCATCAATATGTGACAAGTTCCACATTGTAAACTTTTGGTGGAGATCATGACCAAGTGTTGCCATGATATTGTATCAAAAGTTTTTCAAGGGATAAAGAAAATGATGAGATGAGAAAATTTCCAGCATTATTATACAGGGGGTATATTAAAAGCATCACTAGTTTTATATCTATCCGGCCATGGTATAACGGTTTGCTGGAAGGGTTTGCATCTGCTTGGCTTTTTTCCTTCAAATTATAATATAATTTTCAGCAGCTTCAAAGTATTAAGATGTCTGGAGATTTAAATAAAGAAAATGCAGTAAGTGTTAACATCCTATTTAAGAAAATGTTCTCCAGATTCCAGGTTTTGTGGTTGACCCGGTGGTGTTCTGCCTCATTTGCTACTGGATGGTGGGGCTTCAGCGCCATGCATACCACTTCTTTATGACGGTCCTTGTCACCATCTTCACAGCCAACACTGCTTCAGCTTGTGGTAAGATATGGTGATGAAATTGTTTCCCATTATCATATGAACTATAGTACAGTACAGGTATTGTCAAAGTCCCATTATTTACATTATTTCTGGAACAGCTTCGATAAATAGGGCATTAAGACTCGATTCGTCCTACAACACCTCTATTGGTCACGGTATAATGTTCCGTTAGATATCTTAATGATAAGACCTCTTGGTGCCATATGCTGTTAATGTAAGTAAACTTATCATACCTGTAAAAAAAAGTTATTCTAATGTCATCATGTTGCTTTAATCTTGAAACACCACCAAAAGTTCCTGTTGAAAATCACTTTGTCAAAAACAGTACTGACACATTCCCCACCTCACAGGTTCAATGTTCTCAGCCATGTTTGAGAGCATACCCTACATTATGCTGTTCCTCATACCTTTTGATGTGGTGCTTCTCATCTCCGGTGGCCTCTTCATTAACCTCTCGTAAGTACAAGCGGCCTCTTTTATTAACCTCCTTGGGGACATATGGAACTAGAAGCAGAATTTTCCAAGTACAGTATCATTACTACATCCAGATACTGTACACTATAGCATTACTAACACTGTTGGCAGGATACTTTGTGTAGTAATCTTCTCAAACACAATTTATCTCGCATTCCTCCACTCCTCATCCTCTTGTCATTCATTTATTGGTATTTCTAATTGGATATTTTCATTTCTTCTTAGCAATGTTGAATTTCATGATCCAGTACAGTCCACAGCCAGTACTACTGTATTAAGATTCTTATTTATCTTCAGAACAATGCCTTGGTTTATTGGATGGGTCAAATACCTCTCCTGGTTCATGTACAGCAATGAAGCTCTGACCATTACACAGTGGGCCGACGTAAAAAACATTAGTGAGTATTGTATACCTTTAATTTATTTTTATTTGTAAGTGTTATCAGGGAGATTCTAAATGCAGTAACTTGTTCTTCTTGATTACAAAGATCTTCAGGTTTTTCACTAGCTTGAGATGAAGTCTGTATACGGTATTCCAAAGAAAACATGTATGTCTATTTTTCCCAGGCAGGTCAGTGTGAGGGTTTGTGCTTCAATTTCTGTTTACACTCATTAGGTAATTTGATGAATATATGTGTACACCCTTGCACTGCACACTAAAGTACACTGCAAAGAAATTTTCACTTTTTCACACAAGGTTGACAATGGATCACATGACTAACACAGCCATCAGCACTGTATCTCTAACTGTGTCCATCACTGGCACCAAACTTCTTACAGGAATACACAGAGGGCTGTAAATGACATTCTTTTATTCATGCCAGGTTGCCAAGTACAGTACAGATATGTGAACCAATGCTTAAAATTCAATCTAAAGATGTTAAGTGATTCACAATAGCAATTAATAATCGCATTACTGTACATAAGCATTGAACACGATGAAAGGCAGACAAGTTACTGAACTGTAGTCAGTAATTTTAATGTTGTAAACAAAATAAAACTTATGGATAAACTCCTACTACAGGTATTTTTTACTGCAATGTGCGGCTGTAACTTTGTAAGGTTGGGAATGGTGAGGGGAGGGTGTGGAGCTGTGACGTCCTCCCTTCTTAACCTAACACACCTATGATACGAAAATAATCATAAAACCTTAAAGATTTTCATCCTATGATGGCATGAGTGTGTAAAGTGTGAGGGTTAGTGTGATGTTGTGCCAACCTCCATCACTCTGTCCCCCACCAAAGATAAACATATAATTTACAAACACAAAGACTTTTCACATTCTTGAACAAGTATCTGTCCCATATAGTTCATCTATGATTGTTAGAGATATTTATACAGTACAAAGCATCATTCAAGTTTGTACAGTACTGGTAGGCATGTACACAAACAGTGATGGTGGATAAACTGTGGTAAACAGTGAGTAAATTGAATCTCTGATGGATGCAAGGTTATATTGATCATAGAGGTGGAGGAAGAGATATAAACTTTGTTACTCCAGAACTTCCACTGTTCTAGATCATTAGTCTGGTAAGTGAAGAAAGTACTATTTATAACTTCAGCTTTGATATACAGTACAGTATATTATTAAGGATGAGGATAATATAACAAACAAAATAAAAAATAATATCACTACCTTATTTTTGGGAAGTTCTCAACAAAGAAGTCTGAGGAGAGCACAACCAATTCAGTCCGACAGAGTGTACAGATTTATACACAGCTGCAAAGAAAAAAATTAACACAAATAGTGGATATAAGATTATTTTCTTCCCACAGCTTGTGAAATGCCACCCGGTGTCCCCTGTATCAAGAACGGTCAACAGGTGATACAAGAATATGCCTTTAAAGCTTCACATCTTTCATATGACTTTGCACTGTTGGCGCTTCTCTACACAGGCTTCCACGTACTCGGTTTTATTGGTTTGTACTTGAGAGCGAGGAAAAAGTAGAAAATAAAGAAGACTTAATATTTAGATTTATAAAAACATGCTCAATGTTATTTCATCTCTGTTAAAGAAGTTTATAAGCATCAGTAAAGCACCAACCATCACCATCAAGTACAGTATTAAGAGTTATTAATTTTTATTATAGAAATGAGTGCTTTAATTTATACAACAGTTTTTGTGTTCTAGTACAGTATGTTGTCTTCGTATACATTCATATTTTTGAAAAATAAACAAAAATGTAAAGTCTTGTGCCAGTATTTCTCTTCAGTCCTTTCCAAACAGTGATTAATTTTAAATAAGTTATTATAAGGACTGTGATAAGCAGAAGTGTACAGTAGACAGATCTCCATAATCATTGATATTTTATGGCCATTTTCCATGCTTGTGTGGGTTAGCCAGATATTGAATGATATACAGTACTGGTAAACTGTTCGATAATTAATTACATGTACAGTATTTTCTTGGTTTAACAAACTAATTCGAGCCGCCCTTTTCCGTTTTATAAAAAATTTCGCTAAATCGAATTTCTGTTATTTTCGGTCGATTTAGCGAACTAGTTCACTAAATCATGCGTGATTCCGTTAAATTCCTCCACTTTGTGCGTGGGGTTTGTTTACATCTGCTCAGTATGTGCTCTACTGCCACCGTGTGTGTTGTTCACTGCTACCCATCGTTCAACTAACTACTGTACTGTGCTTAAGACATCATGCCGAAAGTCTCTCAAAAGTTTCGGAAAGAGAGCGGTGTGGGCAAGAAAGTAAAAATAGTGCAGCTACCAATTTGAAAAAGTTTGGAATTATAGAAAAAATTTACAACAAACACCAAACCCCCAAGTTTAAGGTAAGTCATGAATAATGTTTCTAATGTTTCTATGTACCTATCATGTGTCTGAGGTGTCTCTATAGGTGTGAGCGTATTAACAGAATTAATCTTGATATAGTGAACTACAGTAGTTCACTAAACTAAGTGAAAATATCGGAAAAAATTCCTTCCGCTAAATCAAGAGTTTGTGCTATCAGATTCCATTAAATCGAGAGTATAGTGTACATGTACTCTATCTAAAATGACCCCCAAAACTGAGCAAAGATATTCCCAACCATTCCCCACCTGTGAGCTATGTTAAGGTTATGGTAATTTTTCAGCTCATAATTTGAGTAGATACTGTACAGTACTCTACAGTATATGTAAATTACTTCTTATTTTTACTCAGTTACTTACACCTTCAATCTTACATACGGAAAGTGAAAAAATAAATAAACAGTAATTATAAGGTGGTGTATAAAGATATAAAGCATTTCTCAACTCGTAATTTCAGGTAGATACAGTGGCAGCGCCAAGGGGTGGCTTGGGGGGCTGCAGTCTCCCCATAATCTCCATCAGCCCCCAAAAGCCACACTCAAATAATAATAAGGCGCTTTTTTGGAATAGCGTTCCCCAAAAATTTATCATACCTTGTGACTCCACCACAGAACATAATTCTTCCACCACTAGCAGCAAGCACAAATCATAAGGCTGTGGCTGGCTGTACAACGATTTAGAATAAAAATTATCGTCTAGGAAATTATTCAACATCTGGGCAGCTCTATGTCGTACGCAAGTTTTCATATTAATTTCTGCACAATTAAAATCCACGACTATCACGGTATGATTTCTGCGGATTATTTCTAATTACTTGCGTAACTAAAGCAGTTTGGAGAGCATACTCAGCTTTATATACACATTTAAAAAAAAATCCAAACATGACACAGTTGGTGTATGAATAGTAAAAAATTTAAACATGTAGTGACGTCATCATGGAAATATATATTTAAAAGAACCGTCAAAAACAGCTTGTTTATATTTTCAGAAAAGACGTGATTTGCATCAGTTAAAAGAACATCCACTACAAGATTAATTAATTTATGAATGCTATTAGCTCTTGGGTCAATATAAAAAACTATAGAGGAAAAGAGGTAATGAATTTGTGTTTGAATTCAATACTCAATCATTTGAAGTTTATATGATATTAGAATATTTCCATGATAACGTCTACTCTAATACAAGTTGTTTATTTTGGTATTCTAATTCTTTTCCTTCATGTGTGTTAACCTTCAGGGAGACATTATTAATTGTATAATAGTGAATGTATTGTTTTTGTGTTATATATATATATATATATATATATATATTTGTATAAGTCTTTGGGTCATATCTTCATAATATGTTTATCAATCATGGTCATTATTGGGGAAATATGACTTGGTTTACTGTTAGGAGTGAGCTAAGGTGAACTGTATGTTATTTTAAATAAATCAAATGTATTTAATGATCATATGATTTGCGTTTGTGCAAACGCAGCTTCGAGACAAGTCCCGTAGCCCCCCTTCCAACCAGATTGCCACCCCTATATAGAAATTCTGGAGCCGCTGCTGGGTGGATACATGTAATTTTCTTCATTTCCTTTACTCAGTACATGCACACACACTCCTACATACACAAACTGCAAAATAAATAATTAATAATCATGAGGTATAAAGTTTGATGTATCTGTGGGTTTCCATCCAGGAAGCTGTGTGGTGAATGTGGGGAGGTCAGAGGGTCTGTGGCAGAGCACCGGTACTAAGGACGATGTTGTATGCCAAGGTGAGTACCAGGGGCGACTGAGACACAATTTGAACACTAATTTGTATAATTTTAACTTTTTTTATACTTTCATTACTACGTTAATGGTGTTTATGTGCCTACAATTTTAAGTTTTAATGTTACAGTGTACAGTACAGTTAAAGCTAGTTTTTAAGGGTGAATCTAGTGATCTGAACAGAGGCTTCACAGCCAGTTACAGAGGGTTTACTGTACAGAAATGGTACTCCAAATTCCAGTAAAAACCCTATTCAGCAACCCCCTAGATCACAAGTATGCTGGATAAATGGTTCCATACCTGTATATACTATACAGTAAACCTTCACCAACTCATTCTAAATGGTAGAAAGGGCAGTCCAAGAAAGCCAGAGTCCAACCAAGGTCTGAGAACCAAGGGCAATTAAGTCAGAGATACTGTAGAAGAATGAATCCGAGTCCGACCTGAGTTTGAGAATATAAGAGCAACAGTCTGGGATGGGACATACACCATAAGAGGCTGATCATCTGAAAATACAATGAAGGATGAATAAAAACAAACGGATGATCACAGTAATGACCAGACGCCCCCAACCTCCAGTACGTTTACACATGAATTTTCATCTGTTACCTATCAGCTCTCATTAAGCTTAAATTAAATCTGATTACACCACTGTACAGTATCCTCACTAAAGACAATATATACTCTACACTATGGGTTAAACTGAACAAAATATATAAAACTGATAAAGATGTTTTTGTTTACCTTACTAAATGCTCTAAATGGTAGACTCGGTAATGGAAGTAGACGACGCACTTGTGATGTTCAGGTACACTTGAGGCACTTGTACAGAACAGCATGTTAATGGTTTAGCACTTTAATTTAAACTGAATAGTAATAATTTTCTATTTAAACAATATAGGTACTGTACTGTATGTGGTTCGTTTCACATAGCATATTACAGTTAATATTAACTGTACACTCTTAATATTACTGTAGAAACACGAGACGTTGAGTGGTAGGGGAAACCATCACAGCACAAAAAGTTTGTAGTAAACTACTAATGGTTCACGTAAATGAGTGTAGATAGAGAGGCGCAGTGCACTGGTGATATGTATGAATGCAGGACTCAGACTGAGGTATGTGCTGCATGAGTGCAACACCCACGTATGTACCAACTCACAAACCATCTGGATTGATGCATAATTTTCTGGACTTTTTCAAATATTTCTAATAAATATAGGGGCAGTCCGGAGCACCTCGGAGAGTCCGAAAAAGTGAATTCCGATATATTGAAATACAATTTATCAAGGTTTTACTGTGTGTAGGTATATACAGTAGTCCCTTGCCAACCACAGGGGTTAGGTTCCTGAAAGAACCATGGTTAGCAAATCTGCAATTGGCAAGACTGAAGGCTTATGGGAAATAGGGGGTTAGGGTCCATGGCCGTGGATAACACCCGTCAAAGCCTGTTGTCTGCTCCTTCATTAAATAACACCTGTAATGTACATTTAATTACATTTGATTCATACACATATGAATTAGCTTAATATAAATTGAACATTAATATAAATTTTACAATACACCTCCGTGGAGACAGCCTGTTGTTATAAAATAAGACCAATTGCTCATATAGAATGTGCAAAAAAAAATGATTATCCTAAAGTCCAAAAAACCGAGAGAAAAAACATTTCTTACATTCACAGGAGTTAGCCACAATCACGGGAGGGGGGAGAGGGAGGGAGGTCCTGACTTCTGTGTCCTTAGTGAATTGATTGCCAAATAACAATACAGGATTTTTTCTTTTCCTATATTTATTTGTATTTTTTTAATTCCTCACATTTACTGTAGAATACATCAGACTGCGGAGGGATAAGGATGCCACACTGCTGCACAGATACTGTACTACAAAGTCAATGCTGTGGTTAGTGTAATGGTAGACGGTAGACCCTTGCCATTTGCGATTTCGACGATTCGCAGTAAGCAGATGGTGGCTAGCTTGTGAGCCTTTTCCCACAGCACAACAAGTCACCCCACGCAGCACCTCGTGTTGTACTCTCAAAACTTTAGTGTTTCTGTGTGAAATGGCCCCTAAAAGACTGCCTAGTGTCAGTGCTAGTGATGCTAGTGGAGTGAAATGTAAAGGGTAGAAGTCAATGATGACCCTGACAAAGAAAGTTGAATTATTAATTAAGTTAAAAGAGAGGATGAGTGGGTGCTGCAGCTAGTCGGTTGTTTGATATAGGTATACAGTAGGGTAAAAGGTAGTACAGTATAAGTTGCTATTTGCGGTTTTGCCTATTGATGCCATTCCTTGGAATCTAACCCCCATAAATAACAAGGGTTTACTGCACAAAGACCGTGGATACCCGGAATCTGCAGTTAACGAGGGTCTACTGTGTGTGTGTGTGTGTGTGTGTGTGTGTGTGTGTGTATTCATTTGGAGAATATCCCACACTCATTATTATCCAGTAGAGAATCACACACACAACACAAGCAAGACAGTAGGAATACAAATTTTACCAACCATAACTAGTATATTCATAAGTCTGGTTGGCAAAATATGAATAATTATGAAATACTGCATATGACCAAAACCTTTTCGTTGGGAGTGATAATTAATCAAATAAAATAAGAGGGCATCCTCTTTGTATCATATCACTATACGTATTTCATTGCCTCCTCTTCACCACAGGTATTTGATCAAGTTCCAACTGAACATAAGGTTTGTGATCATTTATGCAGTGGTGCTTAATCAGTCTGTTAAGGCTAACTGGGCATTTATCAAAGTCAAAGGACCTTAATAACATTACGTGTACTTACGGACTCTTGAGTGAAGGGTGTTAAGACAAGTATTTTGATATTGCAGGTCATTTATTTGATAAATAAAGTCTTAAGCTATATTACTTATCTTCATGAGGACACAGTCAACTGTATTAGATGACAGCTACTCTAAGACACTTAAGTCCAAATTCTTAATCATTATGATAACAACTTGAATGGCTACAACCTTTGAGTGCTGCGTTTTCCTCGGGTAACCGAGTCGTTACGCGTGCCTGGCAAACTTATTTCGATAAATGGTAATGCCATTCAAGGTTTTACATCACTTCACATAATACATAAGAAGTCTGGACTATTTCCAATAACAAGGCAAAATAGAAACCAATGTTTTATCACAATTACAACCATAACAAAAACAGACATTGATGACACATGAAAAACCAGAAGAATATTAGATTCCTGGTCTAAAGGAGATATATAATAATAATAATAATAATAATAATAATAATAATAATAATAATAATAATCCAGAAGAGTTAATTATACTTCAGGTAAGATGCATATTCTTCTCCAAGTTGCCTCAGGGAAAGCTAGCAGCTATACTCATAAATTCTGAATGCAAGACAAAAACAGTTGCCATACATATGTTGTAGTATGTACAAGTACAATAGTTGTTTTACAATGCTTATAATGATAAAACAAGAATGTGCACAACTGGCATACGCACAAACACAGGAGAGACAAGTGCACATACTGATCACATACACACATAAACGGGAGAACTAGGAGTACACTTGCTATCGTTGGCGTACACAACTTGCGGAATGATGAACGTCTTCAAACCATTTCCAGTACAGGGAGAGGTGAACATTCAGAGTTGTGCTGCTGATGAAACGTCCCTCTGGTGTACGAGTGTGTGGCTTGATGCACCCCATCAGACAGCAGGTAAATAGGCTTTTAAATGCACTGGCAGCTGACAAACATGACAGTCAGTAAAACTATCAATGTTATATGAATATAAACTCAATCCTGAATACTTTGTCAGTTACCTTCTGCAAGTTTCTGCCTCGTTTACATCAGGGGAGATGGAGCATTACACAAAACACCTAAAAAACTGTCAATATAAGCGTCATCGGCTTTACACTACTCTGGGAGGGGATAATTCGAGGGGAATGTGTCATCACCACGGGCTGAAGTAACAGTGGTGTGGCCATGGAATGATATGCAACTGGACACAATAATAATAATAATAATAGTATAAATAAATAACTTCAAAAACAAAAGGCCAATCTTGCTCACCTTAATAAGAATCCACACATAAAACAAGAAAATGGTGCCTAATTCAGTGATGAGTCTTGTGTATTCCTGAAATCAAAATCTTTGAACATCAATTAGAAAATAAAATTAGGCTCTAATGAAACTTGTGTACCAATGTATATTGATTATGTCTATATATATGTGAGTATGTATGTGTGTTTGTATACATGTGCAAAAGAGTGTGTGTATACTGACATATCATGTTTAAAGGGTATGCATAAAAGTTAATATGCTTAAAATGTACTGTAAGTGTGTACTGCACTATAATGTGTCTGTAATTACCACAATTATACACAATCTAAATTAAAGCCTCTGTGTAATAACCAATTATGATAAACACCTTACTGAAGTAGTCTGTAAGGGTGTAACTCATACAGGTGTAACTGGGCCACCTTGTGCTGCCTCCAAGTGGGTGTTAGTAAATATGGAGGATAATATTTCTACATAATATATCACTATAATAACAATAAATAACAAGATTACAATTCTAAATAGTTTTCTGACGATCAATATATTTCTCAAAAAAGAAAATGTAATTATCACCTTTAGTTGAAGAGTCAAAATCCCAATAACAGAAAAGTAATAAGATAAAGGCTAGAAAAATCAACAAGTGTAATCAGAAGTGTAACAACAGTAGAATCACCAGAGGTTATCCTCGTTTATAGTTTTCCTCCGTGAGGGTCGGCAAGTTTGGTTCTAAGATGCAAGAAACGCCTATTCACCTCACTCGTTGCTTGAGATGTGCACCATCGTGTGAAATGAGTAACTGGAACTGTTTTGCAGAATGCATGAAGTCACACATCTCTAACAATACAAACTGGACACAGATCACATCAGGTAAACAACTCTAAAACAATTACAACATTCTGAGAACCACACATAAGTGATGACTGCATCACTTTATTACTCACTGTTCCAGAAAAACATTACGCTGTTTGTGACTAATTTCTACGCTAGTTATAAACTCCTTTCATGACTAGCTTAATTAATATCTGCTACAAAATATGCACATGGATAAAAGACAATGTTCTTTGTCTCTGTGTCTGACATGGTTTCAAAAAGCTGAACTGCTGCAATAGATAGTTGGCACTCAATGAACATAGTCTGCATTTCACAGAACTTGTCTCTTTAGTGGATCTCAAACACACAAATGATAAAAAGATACATAAACTGATGTTCCAAACAAAGACATACCAAATAATTCACCATCTAGTATGGATAATGAAGGCTACATTCTCATCTCCTTTACCATAAAAGCCTAAGTCCTTACTCATCTTCCTTGCAGCTTAGGAACAGTGGCCCATTTACTAGCATGCTATGAATAACACATCCTGACTGTAAATGGTATTAACCTCAGCATGAATCTTAAATCAGCTGGATGTCAAGTGCTCTTGTATCTAGCAAGTGCCAGCAATACACAAAGAAAGTGTATGACAAGATAAAACATTCTGAGTTCTTCGCATATTTCCTACATTAAGTTTCAAGTTGGTCACACCGACTACAAGCCTGACAGATATATCTTAAGCTACAAAATGAATCATCTTGTCAAAACATTTTCTAAATGCTGGTGACTCAACTTTCCAGGTGACTTGATAACGTGCAGGTCATTACAAACCGTGCAGGTAAACTCGTACCCTCCTGGTACCATCCAACTCTCTAAAAGACGTCACGGCAAACGCCCGCCTGGGTCAGTTCAGCACAAGTCTAACTCATCATCTCCCTGGAAACAAGAAAAATTCAATTAACAAACTTCTACTCAATATTGATACTGTAGTATAATACAACTAAATCCTGACCACAACCTTAACCTACCAAGTATTATATGAAATTTTTCTGGTTGAACATCACAATAATAAATATACTGTTGTCTAATGTTGATCTCACCAAATGGAAACAAACCAAGACGGCACCTTCGACGTGTTTCCATGTACTCGGTCGACCGAATTGTTTACATGAAACAACTCATATATAACGTAGCTTACTGTACACCTAAACCAAATGATTACCAAGTTAGAATATAGGTGTATTAAAAAACCACCAATGCAAAATTAAAAAAACCACATGAATGTGAGTCGATGTGGATATCTGAATTCATACAGATGTCACATACATCACTAATACAGAATGATCAGAATAGCAAAAAAAAAAAAAAATTCCCTTCCCTCACTGTCATTTATTGTACCTGTTGTAACAAGCAAGTTTTGCCTTGGTGCCCCTAACACACAGTAAGGTGCTGATATACCCTTGTGGCTACTCTGTCACTTCACACAACAGCAGGTCCATCCTCATGTACCACCTTATACAATGCTTTGTGGTCATTCATGTATACTACTGCTATCTCAATATCCATATGTTTCCCATCCACCTCCACCCCCTCTATATCTTCTCCTACATCAGTGTTAGTTCTTGCACATGCCAGTGAGTGATTCAGAATGTGAACCTCTCGTGCATGATGCCACACACATACTATAGTAATCCATACCTGGGATATTGATGCACCGCCCATCTCCTTGGAGACGGAGTCAACATCTGCGGCAGAGCTGGAGGTGTATGGTGGGTAGGTATCCGTCACCCCGGGTTTCTTGGTCTCCTGGTTAGGGGAAAGATAACACATCTAATACCGATGCTGCAAAACTTTTAAAGAAATCTTAGTTACGTTTAACCAATATGCTATCCGTCTAACACCAGAACCTATCTTGTTTGTGTATATTCTGACTGAAAATGTTTTAATAGGAAACCATAAAAAAAAGCTACTGAAACACTACAGCGATTTATGCTGACACCATCTGTGTTGGAGTCCGTCATTTTTGCTTCATCAATATAGTACAGTACAGGTCTAATGTCACATGTTTTCTGATAATCCTACAATACTAAATAATGTTCACATGATCTCTTGAGAAACAAATATAGGACTATGGCAACATCAAGTACCATGTGTCCAAACTTACATAAGTGACATATAATAAGAGTATTTTTCCTATTGCAGCTGTTCATAGTACAGGAATAACTCGCTATTTGCAACCCCGCTTATCCGCAATTCATACTTTAACATCGCTATTCAATATACGTAAAGAATACCCCACTTATTTGCAAAGAAAAATTAAGATACCCTACAGTAATATTTCAAACTGCAGGGGCTAGCCACAGCTCTCATATTCTGCTGTAAGGTCTGCTTCACACAAGTGAGTTTTTTCGCACAGTTTAAAAATTAATGAAGTTCAATGGGACCGTTCACATGGAGTATGTTGCCAAGTAAGACTGTCCCTGTAGCCTCATCCCCCTACCCATCCCCCCTACCCCAAGCTGTGTTATTGGAATTTTTCGCCTCGTAATTTTGGGCATATATTACGTAATTTTATTCCCCTTTTTTTATTGTTACAAGCACACACAATCACTTATGCAAAATGTGCAAGAAAAATAAAATATATGATTACCAAAAGGTCAAAAACATAAGAGGGAATAAGCATTCCTTATGTGCATGGCAGTCAGCACACACACAGAGAGTAGAAGGAGGAGGATGGAGCAGTGTTGGAGGTCTCAGTCACTCAACTCTCCAGTGAAGTGAAACTATTGTCAATTGGCAGTGCAGTATTTTTGTCTTTATTTTATTTATTATTATAACATTTACTGGTACTATATTATTCACACAACCCTGGTCCCTAATAGCCTCAGATAATGACGAGAATACATCGAAAAGTATGTGGTGAAAGTTGCCGGCTGGGAACGCTTCCCGCCTATTTAAATTAATTCTTATGGGGAAAATTGTCCCGACGTTCATAAACTTGTTATTCACAATGACTTTTAGGAATGCATCAATAATCAGGGTATTCCTGTACCTTTCTTACCTGATTGCATTTGGGTACAGGAAGGCTTCTGGCAAGCTTAGCATACTCTATGTCCATGTGCTTGATGAAGGAAGAGCTAAGAGCTTTCAATGCCATATCCCCATCCTCTTCATCAAAAGCCTGGATCAACATTTCTACTGTCTGAACCTGGAAAATAAAATATGTTCTTGTTATAACAACTACATTATAAAACATCTTTAAATTTATAAAGAATTGATGTATTTTCAAAATCTCTCTTTTATAATAATTAGGAATGACACAACTGTTAAGGGTACAGTATATCACATCATCTACCAGAATGAATCAGCTGCTGTACAGTGTACACAAGTGAGAGGGTCTGTAGGAAAAAATTAACAGTTAATTACTGTTCTGTGTAATATCATAATAGTAGTTTAGAGTTCCAGTATTGTATACAATACACTACTGTAATTTAATAATAATTTTGTTGTGATAAAGTGGTACAGTACTTTAATCATGTATGTTTAGGGCCTTTTGATCTTTAACAGTACAGTAGTAACTATTTTTGGGGGGGTTACCTTACATTTTACCACATAGGGGTTGTAAGGTCAATTCTGTGGTCTTATGACAACTAACCCACCTTATAGAGATATTATCCAGGAGGTTAGTACCTTAATTATTTAAATTTTTATTTTGTACCATACCTGTAGTATGTTAATCTAGATGGAGAGAATGTCCCAGAACCTATTTATGAAAACACTAATGTACACATACAAAATATATTGTAAATAACCATAATACACTACTGTATGCGCTATACTATATTCACCAGCAGATGCTGTTGTCTTGAGCTTGTGATACAGGCCAGGTGGGGCAAATGGTGATATGATACAGGATGGCCTGCCTTTGTCCCGTACCATCTACTGCAGCAGGTGTTGCTGTCACTCTCCTCTCCCTCCATGAAGGAGGGATTATACACACATTCTATACTATACATAAACCTCTACACATTAGCCTACAGCAGGCATACACTGTCCGCCCTGCTATTTAAAGTACGGTGTATACGTAACTGTAATCAGTTTTCACGTCTTAATACTGCTTTAACACAGTATTCTTGGTTGATTGTGTCCTGGTACAGTAATATACAATACTTCACAACACAAATTGTATGCCAAAACAGCATTATGCAAGTGAACAACCTTGTACAATGGCAGCAAAATATAAACTAAATACACAAACCCATGATATAAGTTACCCAAGCAGCTAGCCTACACATGGACCCGGCACGTGGGGATGAGTCAGAGCATGGTGCAATCCCTTGGGACTCCAGGGAAATTTGCTCCCATGCCCAGAGTAGAAAGAGTTTCCCCAGCATTTCCTGGAAGGCTCAAAATTCATTCCGGCTAATGGGGAGATTACCGCATTTATATCCAGTTCGTTAGTTCATATCCCTACACTTGTGAATCAGAGGCCAAGTGTTGAGTTATTGTTGCTGTAGAAAACAAATTCGTACAAGAGGGAGGCTTTCCTGACATAACTCTGTACCCACAACTGGATTATAGTGGAAATATCTCGGTACAGTAGCGGTCCACAGATATAAATACAGTACAGATTCCGTTGTTCAGGGAAGTGGGTAATATTTCTCACACCATTTATCTCCTCCTCGTGTAACGTTCTGTTATCCCACACGTAAAACTTCTGTTGATTAAAGCAAATACCTGTAGTCCACCTATATACATGAGACAAGTATCCTTAAACAAGTACAGTAATACAATAATGACATTGCTTTCCCAAGGTTTCTATAGTATACCACTTCTCTAAAGGCCTTTCAGAGAATTTAAGAGCAAGTATAAATTCTACATACCTCCTCCTGCTCACAATAAGATCCCCATTCTCTAAAGGCCTTCTCAGCAGCGACAGAATCCCCACGAGCTAGTTGAACAAGTACCAGCGCCACTGTCATCCTCCCAATAGCAGCTGAAAATTGAAAAAAAAAAAAACTGATTAAAAAGTTTTCTCCACTAAAAGCTGGCCAAGATCTTCTCTCCAGCAAAATAGAGGAGAACAAAACTGTGAACAATAATAACAGAAAGTACTGATAACATAACTCATTTTAAGAGAGAAAAATAACATTAGCTAACACCAAACTGGCCATAGTCAACAAGACCCCATTACACTGCCTGTCACAAGGATCTAACAATACATTAGAATACAAGGACATTATTGTATTTGTCTTTTATAGCACTTGTGGATCTATTATTCTTGTTCAACTTAGAGGGAGAGACTGTGTTTAGGTACAATACATTAAGTAGTCATCATAAAACAATAAGTTAAATCTGGTATGATTCTGATAAGTATCCTGCATAAATGTACAATTTTAAACCAGGTGCTGAATAATTATAGTGAGAGATGACATAAATGCATGGGGTGACACACATTGAAGAGAGAAGCAGTATTTTCAGGTGTAGTATTAGTGGGATGGGGGATGGGTGTAGACAGTGTATGTATACTGTACCAGGTCAGCTCACAGCAAGGTAAAATGTGTCCAGTAATGCACATGTTGTCACAGGATTCACACATTGATAGCCAACCTGTTTGGTTATGTATATTTCATTACTGCATTCTTACGATACTTTTCTTATAGTACTAGTTTGTGTCTCATATAGGGGAACAGGGAATATATTTCGCAGTAGAAATGTATTGTATATAATGTACTTATTTTTAGTTGGGATTTTAAGTGAATCATACCTAAAGAACAATTACTAAAGTGTATGAAATTAAATCTAGGAATCTACTAAAATATACAAAAATATGTTTAGGGAAGGAATGTTTGAGGTGGAAGTCAGTATATTGTACACAGATGAAATAAATACATTTTTTAAAGGTATTAATACTTAAATAACAAGCAGTAGAAACAAATAAAACCTAATTCAAATATGTGAGTGCAAAATGCAATTTATTTTTCATTATGAAAACACTAACTTATTTTACAGGCTTTGTCATTTTGTCACTGTGCTTTCTCATGGAGCTGATCCTCCTATCAAAGACACACGTCCTAAAAGACACAAGCAACAACAAACATAAATGGTAATGACAACCAATGGTTAAGATACAGGTATTCCCTGACTTACAATCACCATATCTACAATGTTTATATATTAAGACCACCCCCTTATTTACAATGTAAACAATCCACATGAACGATGGTCATTGTCCGGCCAATGCGGATACATCTCTCGGCTCACTTATCAGCTGCAGTCTATCCGTCACGTGGCTACCCGGCGCACTACAGTACCAAGCTTTGTTCTGTGATAATTGCACGTGGCTACCCGGAGCACTACAGTACCAAGCTTTGTTCTGTGGTAATTGCACGTGGCTGTGATTACGTAGTTCAACGATTATCGGTCAGTATTGGTGTTGTTACTTATGTGTTATTTTTTTTACCTTATAGTGAGATCACATCACTAACACATTTCTGCAATGTTTTCTTGTGACTGTAAAGTACTTTGCCTCTGTTGCTGTGAACATGACGTGAACAGTGTCGGCCACAATAACGTAATCATCGTTCGCTCTGTTTTCGTAACAGTGAAGTGAGTAGTGTAACTTTGAAAATGTCTGGGAAGCTCAAGGCACCCAGGAAAATTGTCTCTCTGGAGGTGAAGCTTGACATTATGAAGCCTCTCCAGCTTCCCCAGAAGATGTGTGGGGGTCAGAGTGACGTCTCCACTCCACCTACAAGAGTCCCCTTAGCCTCAAAGGGGACATGTGATGATGACCAGTATTGTTCTTAATGAAGTGGTGAGTGTTATAAGCATATTATTACTGTAGGATTTATTTTTTTCAGTGACACATGTGGTTGTCCGACTGGCTGGGAACATACAGGTATTCCATTGAACCCCATGTTATAATGATGCTGATTTACGGTATTTTGACCCGAGATGAGTTTTTCAGGAACGTAAGCCCAAATTTTGCTGTATCTGCTGCCATCATCTTTAAGGCTCCTCTTCCAGGCTTTAGTTCTCTATCACTATGATCACACTTTAACTTTCTGTGCTCTCTTACAGCTACTTCAGTCCAATAATTTTCTCCTCCTTGTACAGTTGACCCAAGAAGCTAATACTGGGGTAAAGTGTTGATCATGTAGCCACCAACATAATGTACTATAAGCCCTCTGCTTCTACTCCATGTTCAAGGACTGTACAGGTATTCCATTTATCAAATATTATTTTCATTAGATTTCAAGATTCATACATTGTATATTACTTGTCCTTTAGGTATGAGTCAGTTAAAAACCCAATCAAACAATAAGTACAGTATATTGTCAAACATTTATGCTATAAAAGTTACTCATTGTTTCCCTATACGAGTTACAAATCCCAACAAATCATAAGAATGCTAAGAAATACTGATCAGGAATAGGGTTCGGTTCCCAACGACAAGAATACTTCAATATTATACCTAAAATAATGACATCAGTTCATGAACAAGAAAACACAATATTATAACTCAAAAAAATGATTTCTGTTCATTAACACCAAAAAACTCACAATATTAAAGCAACTAACAAATTGATAAACTAAATAAAATACTTTACTCTGGGCTTTACCATTTTTCCTATAACCAAACACTGTTTTCATAGAGTGAGAACGACGTATAAGATAAGAACTTTCGGATAGGCCAATTTTCGTACGGTGAACACTGGTATAGTGAGAGATACCTGTACAGTATACAAATCCAAATGGGCTGGCAGTCGTGTGTGACCTTGGGTATAGATAAGAGTGAAGAATATGTGGGATGAACGTAGGAGAGACAGGGAGGAAGAGCTTGTGCTGCAGCTCAGTACAAAACTATGCTATCAATAACTTCAATCAACACCCTCCCACCCTTTTAAGATCAAGAGTACCTCAGAGGTGATAATCTACTCCACATACCATACCAGTTGCTAATATACTCACGGCCATTTTCTCCTGCCTGATGGAAACATATTTCTCTCCTGATGGCATCGGTGGCTTCGTCAAATCTGTGAGTAGGAACGAGCGTTGTGAGACAATTCCTATGCCGTAATTTCATCATATTTCACACGATAAAAAGGATACACATTAGACCTTGTCATGGAAATAGTTTAACTAGATACTGATAATGAGTTATTTACAGGCAAGAGAAGTGATAGTTTTAGACAGCCTAAATGACAATCCATCAATGACCTACTTTTGGAGCTTGACATTGAGACGAGACACTCTGCTCTGGTACTCGGCTGCTTGTCGAGGACGATCTTCAGCCTACGGGGAGTAAATGAATAGGTAATAATTTTCAATAGCAAGTTAAGCATTATACCAGTGATGTAGTCAGGATCACTAAGTCGAGACGATGTAGAAAAACACCACTAATTAGCGTCGAGGTGGTTAAACTTCAGGCGGACTATACTGAGGTCCACTGTCACCTCCCGCAGGTAGTGTCAGGGAGGTTAAACAGTAAGTGGTTTATGCCAGGGTAGTAAATGTTCTGGTGAGCATTGTGGAGGCTGATCTTCTGGGGACTTGCGTTTATTCTTGTACATAAGCTAAATTTTTAGGATAATTTCTTTAGTACAATATTTGGGTCTCGGTTCATATATGTACCCGTGACAAAGGTGGACTTCTCTAAACGCTCAACTACTGCCAGTTTATGTATTGCTGCCACATTAGTTTGATCTCGTCTTTCTACATTTAGTAAACCTTCCCAAAACCTTGAAAAATGAGTGTAAAATAGCCAGCAGGTGATAGTTGTGCCTTGGTTAAAAAAAAACAAAAGAAAATATATTTATCTAGAGGTTAAATCAGATGCTTTAAGGTGTTCTGAAGCTGTTGACATCCCCACAGTGTTTGACCTATCCAGTAGTTTCAATGGGTGTAATCCAAACAGAGAAGGTAGCTCCACAGTTAACAAGTTAATAACCAGTGACATTAACTGCTGCAAGGAGCTGTACAAACAAGCAGAAGAAAGTTGTCCAGCTGTGTTTGGACTAATATTTGACCCATACATCCTGAGGTGAAGAGACAGACAATCCTGCAGCTTCTTGTCAGTAACTCCACCACTCACTGGCCCCTATACACAGTTCCCTTAACCAACTCAGGGTTTGACGGAAATGTCATTTGAAGAACTTAGTGGTAGATGATGATGGACAGATCATCACAATAACTTACCTAAGAAGTAAGATGAACAGAGACCAAACAAGCATACTGTAAGTTTTTTAGGAAGTCAAAGCAGCTCGGGTTTACAAAACAAGAAGATGCTGCAGACTAAATACAGTAGAGCTATAAATATTCTATTCAGTGAGGAACACTTACCATAACAATGTCAACTGCATGCTCATACAGATGCAGGGCCTTCTCTGGTAAATGACCCTCAATCATTTTTGCGCCCTTCTCCAGGGTAAGCGCCGCTGTGTCGGGAACACCGTGCTCCTGGTACATGCATGCTGCCCGCTCACTCAGCTTGAAGATGGAGTCCTTGTCCCCTAACTCCTTACTTATTAAAGCAGCTTGCTCTAGACACCTACAGGTGGAGCATCAATCACATTATGGTTAGCCCATATACTCGTATACAATAATTAAGATCAATACACATACTGTACATTAAACTGATTTTCATAGGTTCTGTCAACACCATTACTACACTCTCACGTACTTTTAGGGCAAAAATTTGATAAACACAATATGAGTTCTATTCTATTCTATTTAAAAAATATACTTGAATTATGAACAAATTTAGTTCAAGTAAAAATCAATGTTTACTTTTTAAAGTTCTGCTACACAGTACGGTCTCAGTCATCATATAAGCTCATGGCTTCTATTGTATGTTCCAGCCTCACGTACAAGGTAAGTTTTAACCAAAACTTTTAAATACAAGACTTCTATTTTAGATAATGTGTACAGTCTTATGGTGCTAGAAACTATAAAAATACAGTAAACCTTAATTATTTTGGACTAACTGGTGAGATGGCTGGTACAAAGCGACTCATTACATGGTAGCCACTGACAGAGCCAGGGCTTTACTATAAGCTTAGCCAACTTGGTCAAGATGTTTACAATCACAGGTTGGACAAATAAAAATAAAAATCATTAGCCTAAACAATTGAGTAGATTTCTTAATAAACTCTTGTACAATATTGACTGAAAAAATTATAAATATTTCCCAGTACTGTAGAGGCTTAGATAATTTTAATCATATAACTAATTCAAAACATAATTAAAACAGGGTAACTCTTCCATTATCAGTTTAATTTCATATTCGGGAGAGTACAGTACAGTACATACTGTACTTCACTTTAGCGAGTTTCACATTTACGATTCATCACAATAACGACGGTAATGAAATGCTACACCTCAACACATTAACGATCAGCGAGCGGGTTGGTTTGTTTAGATCAGAGCGAGCGAACAGGAGGTGTGGTACTGTTTTAGCAAGAGTCGACATTCACGAGGAAGATGACAGCACTGTTGATGATAACGTTCAAGATCTGTTAGATGTTTTACCACTAGACTTCACTGGCTCTGAGACTAAAGGATCAGTTGGTGGTGGTTGTGGGGAGGCAGCTCAGTGTGAGAGTGTGGGGGCAGGAGGGCACTAACACCACTCCCCTGCCTTACATGACAACAAACTGTCCCATTAAGCAGTTCAATGAGTGTTTAAAGGTTAGTTATTATTAGTTCTTAACTCGACATGCAGTATTAATGTGTGTGAATAAGCGGTTGTAATTTTTTGTGGGGTTTATAGTGGGGGTGAAAGCGTCTGAGGTCTGGTACTAATTGACCCATTTAGCATGTAAACTATACTCCCCACATTAGTGATTTTAATAACAACCGTTTTCGTGGTACCAATTAGTCGTAAAAGTGAAGTATGGAGTGTACTGTAATCCTGGAGTGTCAGTAAGTATGGATCAGATAACAGGCACAGTCAGTATGTCTATGGTTTAACGATCGGGCTTCACAAAACCCCTGAAATGAGTAACTGAAACTAAATTCCAAAATTAATCCAATTAAATGATGCCAATCTTATACAACACAATCTTAGACACTTAAATAAGAGTGTGTTATCATGTGAACGTGTATGCCCGAGCTTTTAAGGGCCTAACTGGCAACCCTCTGGTCTGTGTGCAAGGAAAGGCAATAATGTACAGTAGAAATTTCCCCATTAGCCAGAATACCCAGCCCATAAAACTCTCAAATTGCCGGAATTAAAATCGGTCCATAATTATTCCATAAAATTTGTCTCAATTCCGGGTCTGTGAACAAGTTTCCGAGGTGAAAATCAGCCACATTTTCTTCAAAAGTTCCGGAAAATCTTTTATTTTTTTCCGGGTCTGAGAATAAATTCCAAGGATGAAATATTGTAATGCACAGTTTCCGGAAAAATTACGAGAAAATCTGTCCAAACCTTTCAAGGGATATTACCTACTATACTGTACAGTAAATACTTGCTATTCGCGGGTTTGTGATTTGGGATTTCAACTATTCGTGGTATGCAGATGGTGGCTAGCTTATGAGCCAGCCCGCAGCGCAACGAGTCACCCCCTCATGCCCACAGCTTCTCCTCTCACTCCTTTCCCTTTGTTTGCATTCAACCATTGCCTTCAATGCAGGATCTCTTGTGTTGCACTGAAAACTTTAGTGTTTCTGTGTGAAATGGCCCGTAAAAGACTGCCTAGTGTCAGTGCTAGTGATGCTAGTGGAGTGAAAAGTTTAAAGACCTCAAAGCCAAGAGGAAGCAACTACCAATCACAGTGTTTTTAAAGAAAGAACCAGCTGCTCGCCCAGCTGATTCATCTCCCTCACCTACTGCTGCTGCCCCACCACCTGTCTCTCCACCAACCACCCTCTTCCAACAGTGATCCTGATGATCTCCCTATACTGTACTTCAGTAACCAGATTTCATTCTATTGTACAGAACACTTCATCAAGGTCCAAACTTCCACAAATGAAGGAGAGTATTATTGGTGACTTAAGTTTCTCATACACAGTATAGGTATATAGCAGAGCACTAAGGTAGTATAAGTTGCTATAATGAGGACCTCCCGTAATACCAAATCAGATGAAATATGAGCATTGGAAACGAATGAAGTGTGAAGTGTAATGAATCATGAAACACCAGTGTCTTTAAGGACAAGACTGTACAGTTTGTATAATTCTTAATTTTGACTGACAGTTGTGATGGAGGAATGAGTGATCATTGTACAGTAATAGTTCCATTAGCCCAAACAATTTGTGAAGAGCTCTTTTGGGGTTGAGAGATTTATGGGAAACGAGAAATATCTCTCAAACCTGGAAAATATCCCACATCCCTGAAATTTTTCCGCGTACTGGCAAAAGCCTAAACTATGCACCTCTGTACACATACGATACATTGTAAATAAACAAAGTAATGCACATTACAACTGTACTGTATATGCTATACAGCACTCACCAGCAGATGCTGTCATCTTGAGCTGCCAGTAGGCATACACTTGCTGAATGTAAAACACAATTGTCATCACAATTTACACTCTAACACTTGCAATAGAGGTGGGGTGGGGGATTAGTGGCCTTGTATTACTGACCTGATCTGATGCAATGCCAGGTCGCCCATTGTATATAAACTCCTCACTTATTTCTGGAGGAAGTGGGGTGGGGGATTAGTGGCCTTGTATTACTGACCTGATCTGATGCAATGCCAGGTCGCCCATTGTTGGGGTGGGGTATTAGTGGGTCTCATGACCTGAAGACATCTTGAATAAAGACAAAAACTAAAGTGTTTCCCACTTATTGAATGTACAGTAGAGTATACTTAACTAATCACTTTTTATTTCTTTAAATTGCTTTAACACCGTATTCTTGGCTGTTTGTGTCCTGGGACAGTAATGTACAGCACTGCACCACAGAAACTGTAAGCAAAAACAACAGCTAGCGAGGGAATAACCTTCTACAATGGCAGCAGAATATGAACTATGCGATCCAAGCAGCTAGGCCACCCACGCACCTGCCACGTGGGGGCGCTTTAGAGCATAAAATTTATTACCAGGCCCAAAAACAGAGAGGTGTGGAGAGATTTTCTCGGAACCTTCTTGGAATTTTCCCCAAAATGTGCCGATTTTCATCCTCAGAAACTCGTTCACAGGCCCGGAATGTAGAGTTTTCTAAAAAATTTTCCAACCCAATTTCCATTCCAGCAACCTGTATTGGAGAGTTCCAGGGATTGGGGGCTCCAGCTAACAGGGAGATTATTGTATTAAGATATTTAAAGCTTCTTTAAGAACTGAAACATGATTATAATGTGCTTATTTATTGTAGAATAATTTATATGATAGTACTGTACTTGACCGGCTAGGAACTTAACTCCCCATATTACATTGATCCACATGGGAAAAAATGCTTGGTTATTTGTATAATCGTAATAAATAAGGACTTTTCAGAATGAAACCCATGTGAATAATGAGGACACACTGTATACTGTAAAGGACCCCTGTAAAAAATTATTGCTGCCCTGGACCCAACACTGTCTCTATCATTATACTGTACTCCTAAAGTGCAGCACTGGGTCATGTTTACCTCAACTACTAAAGATAATTTTCTTCAATCCAGGATTCTAAGTCTTTCCAGCCTATAGACCAAAGAAGCAATTTCTAAATTCAGTAAAAAAATTTGAGAAGTGATAGTTTCTAGACAAATTCTATACTTTTACTACCAGTCTGTGAGGAAACTCTCTGCAAAACACAGCTCTTATACTCCCAACTCTTCGTACTGGATGTTAACATGACATACATACAACTGTGAATATAATAATTACTGACCAAATCTTCAAAACACTGTTGAGTTCAGTACAATGACAAGTGGAATTATAAATTTACTAACCACAGTTGATGAATATTAATAAGCATATCATTAGGGAAAATATAACAAAGAATGGAAGACATTAGTGTTCTAGTCTTCTCTTACTTACTTGCCAGCTGAAAAGAATCTGAAGAACAAGTAAAGGAACAATAACACGAGTCATTTGAGACACAAATTTACAATGACACTTGATAAACAATCAATCAAAAACTGAATTTCTTATATTCAATAGTTAAGGACAGAGTCATCTGCAAAATATTTTCATGTCATACAGTTATATTGCATTGAAACCCCAGGAACATCATGCAGCAGAGGAATATCGTAAGATCATTATATTTCCCTAAACTATATTGTCAGTCCACATAGATTAAAGGATACGATCGGTTCAGTTTGTAGTTTTCAACTGCCTTCAATAGACACTCCCGGCACTGGGTGAACTGCCTGGCCGTCTTGTAGCACGTAGCTGAAATACATTAAACCCCTATTAGTAAAATGCACCCACTGAACAGCACAGGTACTGTACCATCAAATTCCTTATAAATTATTAAACAATAGAATAAGCAAATATTTGGCCCTCAAAGGAAAATATAAATCAGAATTCATCATAAGGAAAGTTGGACACCTGTGACTACTGTAAACTGTACATGGAACAATGAGAAACTGAAAAATTAATTACTGTAAAGCAATGACTTATTTCATTTCTTCTGAAGTAATTTTTATCATTGTAAAATCTTATATAAAATTAACAAATAAATGAGACCAAAGAAAACAGTCAAAGAAGCACTAAAACAAGGAAGCATCGTCTCACCAGCGGCATTGTACTCGTCTGCCGCTATGTCGTAGTCCGGCTTCCATTTCAACAAGCTTGTCTTGAGGCTGTAAGAGAAACCAATATGACCAGTGTGTGTGTGTGTGTAGTATCAAATATTTTCTTTTATTTAGTCATACACAGAACAATTTAATGGAAAGGTACAATATATAAGCCTGACTCTAACAACGGCATGGATAGTGAAATCAGAGAATTACTGTATTAATAAGTTTAAGGTTAAATTGTATTATGCATTTTTCTTTTCTTCTGATCTTCTCTCTACTAGACAAGCCAGTGAGAGTTGACAAAGAGAAGGGGAATTATAAAGTATGAAGGCGAGTGGATTTATCAAGAGAATATTCACTGGCAGGTTTCCGGACTCCATGACTTGACTACTCTTTCTCCAAAGTTAGTCTGACAATACAGACAATTATCAGGGCTACATTATATAGATTAAGAATTGTGAATTCTTAGAACAACTCACAAGTAAATGTTGTAACATTTCCAAGTGTGAGCTCCTGTAAGTCTCATTTTGAGAAACACTGAAACATGTTCTGGTACACTACCATGGCCCTGAGCTCCCAGCACTTACCATCAATACACGACCAAGAACTGACCAGTTGGTAAGCCAATAAGTGGCATAAAGTAAATCAGTATGAATAAATATTTTGTCAAAATGTAAATAAAGTAGTGACCCCTCATAACCTTTATTCTGGAAATTATAATGATGCAATTGTATTTCTCCAAGGAATGATCTACCACTCTCAGTCAAACAATTTACTACAATAATTTTGGGGGAATAATCTAGGTGCTCAAAATCAAAATGAGTTTGTAACTAACATTTAAGTTTTACCTCTTAATGTCTTTCCTTTGAAATAATTTTGGATTTTTTCTGCAGAGCATATTGGAAATTTGTTTTATCCTCAGTAAGCATTCATACAGCCCCAGTAGAGTGTCTGCATAAAACATTGATCTCAGTTATGAAATCAGAGGCATTTTTTACAAGAAAAACGCAGCTTGGTTACAGCTAGCCAAATTATATTAGGCACAATATTTTTCCTGCTAACTCAAATGGTTCCTTGAGCCTATATGAATTAGGTTCCCACAAGTCCAGTATGTTTACCTGTATCTTGATACAGATGCATCAGTTTATGCTTCCTTCTGATGATTAAAATAAAATATTCATATATAGACATGTCATGTTAGCCCAAGATTTTTCTCTGAGAACAGTCACCATGGGGCCCACGAACATGTGTGGTGGGGTAAAGGCTCACACTCTTGCCCTGTTGGATAAAAAAGTTCCTTGGAAGGAATTCCAGGATGAGACACACCAACGATTAAGACTGAAGCTTGCAGCACACAGTCTTCCTGCCAATTCTGTTCCAACTCAGAATAATCTCCTGTAAGACTTATGAGATAAGAAGTGATGATGAATTTGAAATTTTCTGCAGCAAAAATTAAGAGAGTCCCTCAGAACCTTCTCAAGATTTGTCAGAATGAACGAATCAGCACAATATCTTGTTATGCTGCCACAAAAAACTCCCAAATGGATGGATATAAAAGAGCTAGAGTGACCTGGGAACTCAGCTCAATAGAGAATGTATTGAATCAGATAAAACACAAGTTGCCAACAGGAACCATATCATCAGAACCTCACCTACTGGAGGAGACTGTGCACATCTGGATAAAGAAATAGGTCATGATGATCTTTAACACTTGCTAAATCAATTTCAACTGGTGTTAAAATCAAAGCAAAACATAACAAAATATTCAATAACAACAAAAGAAAAGCGTGCATGTGTTTTAATGTGCTTATGGTATACTAATTATCCTTAACTTATGCTTATGTTAAGTCATGATAAAAAGTTACAGGGATCTATATTTTTGCAGACTATATATATATATATACACTGTACTGTATATATAAGCATGTACAATAGGAATTTTAACCAAATAAGAAAATAAAATAAAATAATTATGACTGTGCTATTCACTCTGCACACAAGTTTGCCAGTGATAGTACATTTTTCAGTGACTGTCACAAGAATGGATGCTGAGAATTAACAAGAAAAGCTACACAAGGTTGCTCCTTAGCCACCAAATTAATAAGAAAGCTTACCTCATGCATCATATAATGACATTTTCCTAATTCACCATCATCAATGCTTAACGGCCATTTTCCACAGTTGTGCGGATTAGCGGTGATTTCCTGATGGCAGCTCTCCATGCTGCACAGCTTCATGGAGCCTCTGTCATATTCTTTATTATTTTAGCAAATATACAAGCATTTGTAAGCTTGTCATGATCTTAAATAGCGATGACTAGTTTATTATTATAAAAATTCTACCTTTGGCTTGTTTAATATTCATTCCTGAAAGTGGTACAGCAGAAAATAGATCCACCAATCACAATCGCCATTACATACAGCCAAACTTCACCAGGTAAAATTACGAGTACAAGAGCCAGGGTGAGGTCGATGCATGCTTGGCTGACTGTACTTACTTGGCCTGTCTCTAATTAAAGCTTTTGAAATGTGTAGTTCAACCAGACCCAAAGTACAGTATTACAACTCAGTTCAGTCTCTGGGATACACTAAACACTGCTAATTGATTAAGAATGTTGCTACAATGAGTGATAAAGAAATTATTATTGGAACTCAATCTCACTTTCTGTACCAAGAAAGACTAAAATATTTATAGTTGCTCACTTAATATTACAAGAGTGAGTTTATTAAGACCACACTTGACCAACAATACACAACAAAACTGACTGGCTACTCAGATATCTAGTACTGTATGTTGATATAGGCAGTGGATATTTTGCCATGACCGACTGAGTTCCTACTAACACTATTTCACCGTGAGTGCACTCTGATTGGCTAATCATCCATTCTGGCAAAACAATACGAGAACAATATGTGACCATGACTCTGGCGGCATATGGCATTTATTTCGCCGTGAGTCGATTGTTGTATAGCTGTAAACATAACCTAACCAGAAGTTGTTCGATTTTGTTATTTTTCCACAGATGTTCTTATTATAAAAGAAGCGACATTTAATAGAACCTGACATAACCAACCAAAGAAACCTACCTAACCTAACTTCCTAGCAGGGGAGATGGACCCCCCTGTCATACTAAACAGAAAGTAATTAGGCCAATCAGAGCACACTCACAATAAAATAGCATTAACTTAGCCAGTCACAGCAAAATAAAGGCAACATCATACTTTTACCCAAAATAATATACATGTGCAGACTCTTGATGCATTAGTTTATTAATGGTGTAAAATTATCAAAATGTCCTTTGTATTCATCACCCAATGAACTAATTTTTGTAATGCTGTAATGAAACTACTGTACAGACAACTATGTACTTGTAACAATGAATGATTCTAGAACATTTCCATCATGTCATTGAGTCAAGGGTCACGTTCTTAATCTATATGTTACATTCTCCACAACAACTAGGAGAACATCATCATTCAGACAGTTCAATATAAACCATAACAAATATCATTAGCACAAACTACAATATCATAATCCATGTACCTAAGAATTTAGTGGCCAAAACCTATAATTTCATTCATAAGTTAATATTAATTCAAGACTGAGTTAAACTGTACATTAAGAGAGAAGTAACAAGGCACAGGACAGGTACCGCCCCCCAGTGAGATAGTCAAGCCTTTAATAACTTATCAAAAGAGAAGCTCAATTATTAACCTTATCTTCCCTCACCAATAACTATCTACCATCAAATACCAAACAAAATTATCAGAAAATACATCATACATATATAAAACCCTAAATAATCATGAATAATAAGTGAATTATACCTTTTCTCAGCCTCTCTAATATGAGCTAGAGCCTCTTCGATTTTCTTGGTGGATGCCATGATTGTTGTGTTGACAGACGATGCGAAGCTGTCAGCCGCGCCTGCGTCACCGGCTCCACCATAATGAAGCTCAACCATATTATAATGAACTTCAACCTTCATATTATAAGGAATATATACTTTTATTTTATGGGAAAGATCTCCATTGTAATATAAAAGATAACACATATATATAATATACAGTATATATTATAGATAATGTTTATGTTTATAATATTATGAGAGGTTATAGTGGGGTGAGGTCTTATATAGCTGGGGTAGGTGTGGGTTGATAGTTGATCTCGGCTTTGTTAGGTAGGGGTAGGTGTGGGTTGATAGTTGATCTCGGCTTTGTTAGGTAGGGGTAGGTGTGGGTTGATAGTTGATCTCGGCTTTGTTAGGTGGGGGTAGGTGTGGGTTGATAGTTGATCTCGGTTTTGTTAGGTAGGGGTAGGTGTGGGTTGATAGTTGATCTTGGCTTTGTTAGGTGGGGGTAGGTGTGGGTTGATAGTTGATCTCGGCTTTGTTAGGTGGGGGTAGGTGTGGGTTGATAGTTGATCTCGGCTTTGTTAGGCGGCGCTGACCACGAGGTGCAGGCTGGGGAATTCGAGGGTAAGAATCCACTACACCTTTTCCTGCCCATTTTCCTGGAACTCCTAATACAGTAGGCTATAGGAATTTATTACAAAAATAGGGTCATATATGAGAAAAAAATATTTGTTTCTGATAATATTATACTGAATTTCCATTACCCTGGACTTTTTTTTTTACAACATGAAGTGTCATAGGTATAGAAAACTGACTTTTATTCTAAATAACCAATTGGGGGGGACTCCACCACATGAATGGTTGATAAGTGGACACATAAATGAACCTGAAAGATACTGAACACACGTATTACTGCGCATTTTTCTACAATATATTACGTTTGCAGAAGTATTAGAAGGTGCAAAGAAGTGAAAGCAACAAAGCTACTCAATTGTATTAATTTACATTTCTATTAATTTTATAAAGTGTAAAAACTAAAACTCCCACACTTTACCATTGCTATATATCCCTACATGTGGCCACTTGTGTCTTCTTTTGCAGGACATTGGTGAAGCTGAAGGACTTGAAGCACCAACATGCAGCGGTCGACAAAGTTAAGAAGAAAACTCAGAAATTCGAGACGTGGGTTGGGACAAATGATGAGCAGGACAGGAGGATGTATGCTAGACCCAAGAACCAAGCCAACTGCACTGGCTAACCATTACCCCGGAGTACGATCCGAAAATCGATTAACCCCCAGGGCCCCAATTACTGCTGGGTAGACAGAGGCAACGTCCCCCAGGCCCCGTTGTGGGTCGTTTGACCTGTGCTCGGGTGGGCTAATTCCCGAAAAAAAAGAAAGAAAAAGAAAAAGAAACTTACCCATAGTTTCAAAACTTTCAACCTGCTTGCGCTTGGACACCTCAGCTATCCAGAGATATTAGAGAGTCTGCAACTACCTAGCTTATACTACAGATGGGCAAAGTGAGACCTAATTGAGGTGTATAAACATCTCAAAGGGCACTACTCAGTTGACTGTCCATACCTGGAGCTGGCGGACGCCCGCCCCACAAGGGGTCACAGCTCAACAAGGTTGAAGAAGCTGCAAGACCCAGAAAACTGTGAGGGTGAACTTTTTCGGAGTGAGAATTGTGAACTCTTGGAACAATCTGCCAGAGTGTCGTGACGGTACCGAGTGTGAGCTCATTCAAGACCAGCCAGACTTGACCAGCACTGGAGAGGGTTCAGATATATTCAGGAGCCAGTACTTGCCAACAGTGCGTAACAGAGACGTGACTGACTGCCTAAGAGGCTAACAAGTCTATCAGTGGTGAAGAGGATAAAAATAAAAGTAAGAGTAAAGTTTATACTGTAATGGACCGAATTATCTCTTGTAAGCTTCAGTCAGTCGTTAGTCCGACGAATACCATTTTCTGTAATAGGTTTGTGGAAGAAAACGATAAATAATTTTCGGTGTATATGTTGAATCGAAGAATGTGGATAAAATAACAAACTAAAGAACAAAATTAGCAATTAGTAAGGGTGCAGGTGTAAGGGTATTAAATAATTCCTGAAAATACACACTCAAGCGGATGAGTTAGTTAAAAAGGTAAAGTATAAAAAATAAAACGAGTAGATAATCGTATCACACAAGTGTCTCCCTATTTGTAGGCTAAATCTGCTGTAAGTGCTTAGTGTTTGTATTGAGTCTGATAGAAATATAATTACTGAAGGCTATATCCAATCAGATATTATCTCTGCTTTGCTTCCGGTTATCACTGTAGCCTAGCGGTGTTTATTTAAGCACCAATAACTGATAGTGAGGATAATAAATAATAATAATAATAAAGAGATTATTATCAGCACCAACAAATGATAGAGAGGATGAAGTTGGAGACAAATTCTATGAAAATTTGAAGAAGCAAAACACACCGGAAGTTTAATGAATGTGTGATTATAATGGATGATTTTAACGCCAAAGTTGGGAAAGGGAAAGTAGCATCAGAAGTAGGACCACATGGGCTGGGTAATAGAAATAAAAAAAAATATGATAATTGCAAATACTGAAGATGGTTAGAACAACACCCTAGGCATCTCTATACACGGGTCTCACCCCAGGACAACGTAGTCAGGGATCAAATAGAGCTTATATTAATGTAGGAATTAAATAACCCGAGCCAAGACCTATCAGGGGGTTGATTGTGGGTCAGACCGCGTCCCAGTAATGAGTTTAGTGAGGCTAAGACTTCAACAATTATAAACTATGGACAACATCAAGTGAGACTTAGGTAAGCTTATAACAGAGGCAAGGTTGAAGAAGCTGCAAGCCCAGGAAACTGTGAGGGGTAACTTTTTCGGAGTGAGAGTTGTGAACTCTTGGAACGATCTGCCAGAGAGTGTTGTGACGGCACCGAGTGTGAGCTCTTTCAAGACCAGACTGGATAAGCACTGGAGCAGGTTCAGGTACATTCAGGAGCCGGTGCATGCCCAGTACTTGCCAAGAGTGTGTGACAGAGACGTGACCGATCGCCCAAGCGGCTAACGAGGCGATCAATGGTGGCGAGGATAAAAGAAAAAGTAAAAAAAAAAAAAAAAAAAAGGAAATAAATGGGGTGGAACTCTTAAAGGCAAAGGCAATATGATCCAGTTTGAGGCTTCAATAGTCCCAGACAGACAGACAGACAGAGATACAGACAGACTCAGACACTGATAGAGACAGACTCAGACAGACAGACGGACTCAGACTCAGACAGACAGATAGACAGTCAGACAGACAGACAGACAAACTTTTAATATAACGAAAAAAATCACTAGTGTAACATATAGTATCAACATTGCCTTTGACATTTATAGTGAGTAAAATACAACAATAACGACAGATTTATAATATACTGTATAACTAATTAACGAAATAAATCCAGAAAGATGTGTAGTTGGTTTGTGAATGATAACTAAAGAAGAAGACAAAAATGTGTATTTTATCTTCACGACATAAAAACTGCGGGAGAGAAATAGCGGTTGGTTGAGGCGGTGTGCATGAAATATCGTCATTACTCAGCCAGTCCGCAAGACGACAGGTTTATTCCCTGTCGTTTAGTTGATACATGTAGTGGCGGTGGTCAGTTTCTTCTTGTGTGCTGGTAATGTTGCCACATTTGTCCTGGTGTGGCCCTTAAATCTGACCAAGAGTCCAGGTCTGCCACCAGATCTTTTCATGGGTCGTGTGTGGCTCCCAGATATGGCCAAGAGCTATGGTGTGACCCCAAACATGGCCTTGTTTCATAGTGTGGATCATGTGGCTCACAGACATGGCCATGAGCTGTGGTTTGGTTCTTAAGTATGGCCATATGTTATGGTGTTGCCCCAGATATGGCCATAGTGTCATGGGATGGCCCTAGATATGTTCACGTGTCGTGGTAGGGCCCCAGACATGGCCATACTATCTTTTCTCCGGGCGTGGGGAATAATTAATGGTTTTCGGTAAGGACAAAGGGGAACTAATACACATTTTAAGTCTGAGTCAATTTATTCGTTCTAGTAATTTGCACAACATTTCTGATGATAAATTGTAGTATTATTAGAGCAGATTATTGTAGAGACTAAAGAAATAGTCGATTACCTGATGATAAGGTTATGTTAGGTCATGCTAGGTCAGGTCAGTTTAGGTTAAGTTAGGTCATGTTATGTCAGGTCAGTTTAGGTTAAGTTAGGTCATGTTATGTCAGGTCAGTTTCGGTTAAGTTAGGTCATGTTAGGTTAAGTTAAGTCATGTCAGCTTAGGTTAGGTTACGTTAAATCATGTCAGCTTAGGTTAGGTTAAGTCAGGTCAGGTTACGTTAGGTTAGTTGCCTAATCTTCAGGTGAAGCGAAATAACTCATCATTATCGCCCTACTCAGCGGGAGGAGTATATACTGTACACATTATCCTCACTTTACTTTACTTTTATCTTCTTCGCCACTGATCGGCTTGTTAGCCGCTTGGGCGATCGGTCACGTCTCTGTCACGCACTGTTGGCAAATACTGGGCATGCACCGGCTCCTGAATGTACCTGAACCCGCTCCAGTGTTGGTCAAGTCTTGTCTTGAAAGAGCTCACACTCGGTACCGTCACAACACTCTCTGGTAGATTGTTCCAAGAGTTCACAACCCTCACTCAGAAAAAGTTTGCCCTCACAGTTTTCTGGACTTGCGGCTTCTTCAATCTTGAGCTGTGACCTCACGCTCCTCCCTACCAGCTGCCAGACACATGATTAATTTAACGAGAAGAATAATAATCCCTATTGTGGTATAAACTAATAAGGAATGCCTCAAGATTAGTCCACAGCTTATTTCACCGCCCTAACGCTGAACTGACCTAATCTAATGCTAAGATAACTTAATCTAACCTAATGCTGACCTAACTTAACCTAACAGCATAACACTAATTAACTTAACTTAACTGACCTAACTTAACATAACAGCATAACACTAATTAACCTAATGCTGACCTAACTTAATCTAACAGCATAACCTTAATCTAACCTAAAACTGACCTAACTTAATCTAACAGCATAATC